GACTGCAATGCAATGAGCCACACTGGACTGCTGCTGGTTTGTTGGTGAGCCCCAGCTTTGGCCTTGGCCGTCAGGTGGCCTGCATAACGAATATAATATGGTGTGAGTCCATGTGTGTGCGTGTGTCTGAGTGAGAGAATGAGGTTAGGTTTTGGGGAGATCAATGCAGGTTGCACTGCTACCATCCCCTCCCTAACACCACCTCCTTCCCTCTCCCTGCCTTTCTGCAGGCACTGATTTTATCTGGGATAACAGTTTAACAGCCAGACCAATTGAGGCTCTCTGTAGAGTCCCTGTGGAGTTGGTGGCCCCATACATTGCCTTTCATTAAAGATAAGTACAGCCTGATGCATCTCAGCTGCACTTTAATTCACTGGGAAAGAAAGTTCATTTTTGAGGATTTTGGCTTTTTGCTAACCAAATGACTGCTTGGCTTGTTCATGATAACGTATACTAAAAGGAGAGACTTATATATTTTATATATATCATATATTTTTCTACAGTAATCTTTGTTTAATATCCAAAAAACACAATTTCTAATTTTTTTTTTTTTTTTTTTTTTGAAATATCCAAGAATCTACTGGTAAAATTGGCATGAAATTTGGTACAGATATCCATGGCACTCAAACAATTTTTTCCTCTGAATGATTATACCTTGACTTTTCTTCTATCGCTTACTAGCCGATACCCGATCCAGTACTTTGGTCAGTATCTGGGACATTTCAGATACCAGTATCGGAAAAACTCTAGATCTAAGGTGGCCTTTCAACTTAAAACAACTACTTCAACTTGAAATCTATTGCCAATATATTAGTTTGACAGAATTTTGTTTGAGAGATTTTTTTTTTATTCCTTCAAAAACTGCACACGGCCAGAGACTGCAATTGTTCTGAAACAATTACCCTTTCTTAAAATTTCATTTTGCTTTAAACCTGAGGAAACAAAGACATTTCAGTCCAACTGAATACATCCAAGTTCTCACACACATTACCAAATGCCCAGTAAAAGCCAAGGCTGGCAGGAAGAAGATGTCAAGGCAGTGTACTTTCCCCAGCAAAGGCCCCTTGCTGCCCACTGTGAGAAGCGGGAGCCTTTGTGGTGAGACTGAAGGAAACATGAGCTATAGTATACACTGTGGGCCAACTCATCAGGAGAGGTGCTGGGTCTTCACAGACGCCCAGTGCCTCTCCAAATCCCCTATGATCACCTGGCAGTCATAAAAGCTCAGTGGCGTAATAGAGAGAGAGGGCAGTTGGGGTGGGGGGTGGGGGGGGCAGAGGAGAAGGATGCAAAATGTGTGCAAAATGCATATGACATCACCTTCTGCACTTCTCCACTCCAAGCCCTTCTCTTCTGTCAGTCACAATTCCCCTTTAATTGAGTCCAGAGTGAAACAAATCTGAGGCTACCTTTTATGCTAGTAATGGAAAAGCTGATCTAGGAATCTGCATAACAAAACTACTGAAGACTGACAAAGCAAGTGGAGACTGCTCTTTTTCTCAGACCACTCTCTTACTTCTCTCTCCCGAACCTTCACTAAGGCTTCCCAACTTTCTTTCATATTTCCTTAAAACTTCAAAAACATATACAGCTCTGTTCAGTGTCTGCTCCAAGAACAGAACATCTTGGAAAGGGGTGTTGTTGGAGTTACATCAGCACTAAGAAGTAGTCCCAAAACAAACATCAGTACAGTCAAATTAAATGCTACCACCTGGTGGAGTTCATCTTTTGGCTGCTCCAATGACCCAGTGTGTCACTCTCAGGCTCAGCTTTCAGCTTTAGTAGAGGAACTGTCTGTCTGATTATCTGTCTGTCATACATACTGTATATCACATGTGATCTGTAATACTCTTGTGTTGTGATTTCTACATGGGAATCCCATAGCTCTAATACACTCAGAATAAAGTCAATTGAAATTAAGCCTTTATCTCAGCCTTTAAATTTACTTGAGGGTTATCCACATCCACACAGACAACTAACCTGTGGCAGATAACCTCAGCAGTGTAACAGGAGACAAATCAATTTATAATTCTTCACTTATTAGCATTGCTGGTTGACACACAGCCCCTTCTATTTCTCTCGTATATTTCTCTTAGCCATTGTCTCTGCTTCTCTGTCAAACCTGCTCATCATCATTCTTCCAAGGGTAAACTGTCAAGTTGTGTTAATTAGATTTTGACTGTAGTAACACACAGGTCAGGAAGCAAGACAGCCATACCTCCTACTTAGACAGAAAGGGTCAAATATGAGTCACTTCAAGTCTGAAATGACAGGTTCACAACTCATAAACCTACACAATACAGCCAGACCTATTATCAGCTACAGGAAAGAGACTGACAGTGAAACAAACAAGCAACTGTTAGAAAATGTGAGAAGTGGTTCTAACCTGTCCAAGAGCCAGAAACATCGAGCTAAATCTAAACTATGAGGAAAATGAGATTAAGTGGAAATTATCCTGTTAAGCAGAACAGAATTATCTTGGGTATGACATGTTTACCTGTTCTGAGGTTTGATCACAATGTCATCATGTAGTCTGTAATCTGTAATAGGTTCAAATCACACCAAGATAAATCACACTGTTGACATTTACACACTGTATTCCATCAAAGGACTGCTTACAACAACGAATAACTGAGCACTTTCTCAATGTGTCAAGGTGACTCTGTGAGGAGTTGGGTGTGTTATTTCTAAGGACTGGTCCAGGCTGAAAGAAAAGCCACAGGAGGGCACTGATCTGGAAGGCTCTCTGGAGACACATTTAGTGATTGTCAGAAAGAAAAATAACATCCTTTTGACATCTGAACCCACTATATGAGGTAGGTAGGGCAGAAAAGGGGGAGACTGGAGATCAAACGAGCAGCTAGAAGTCTCTTATTGGGAGCAGAGAGCACAGGGAATCATGTTCTGTGTACAGACACACTCACATACCACTCTGGATGACTGTCTTGTGGTTCCCTATGCAGCCAGCTAACCACTGTACAGTAGATATAATGTTTGCCTGGAGAAGAAGCCAGGAAAAGTCAAAACCATCTGCAGCTCTTAGACATGTTCACGTCTGAACTAATGGGTGGAACTCTACATTGATGTTGGTGCTCTTGTAGTCTAAAAAGGAACTTTAACTGCAGTGTGTGTGTGTGTGTGTGTGTGTGTGTGTGTGTGTGTGTGTGTATGTGTGTGTGTATGTGTGTGTGTGTATGTGTGTGTGTATGTGTGTGTGTATGTGTGTGTGTGTTTGCATCAAGGGTTTTTTAGGTGATGATTACTGAACACACACTGATGGAGTGAACTATTTTTCCAAAACACCTCAATATTTCATAGACTGACTGAGTCATTCATTAGTTGCTCTATCAACCAACTGTGTTACAAAAGATGTTTCAGTGTGTGGAGGGCAGACTGAGGACAGGACATAAGTGAAAGGACAGGCTGTCTGTGCAGGTTTCAATTTAAAACAAAGTTCATTATACCAATTTCAACAACACACCGAGATCCATACTGTAAACCTACTGTGAGGCCATTCATCCTTTAAAACTGTTTTCCTTTTTTATTCCCTCTGCTACATCCCTCCTCATCTCCATCCATTTTCCCAAGCTTTTTTCTCATCCCCCGTCCCTGCAGTCCTACAAAAGTGTCCTTTTACCCCCCCCCCCCACCCCCCGCCCCATCATCCTCTCTACTCATCTTCCATTCTCTCATCTATTCTGCTCCTCCTCTTGTCCTCTCTCTCTTCTCTCCATTCTGTCTACAATTAGCTGTTTGAAATGCTTATTTGTGTAGTTCCTGTCCCTTTCTATTTTTCCTTGTTCTCTTTGATTCTCTTTGTATTTTCATAGCTTATATATTTAAAGCCTTAGATCAATTTCATGTTCATTTCTGGTTGTGTAAACTCAGATCCTCCCTTTGTTCAACAGTTCCACCTCCAAACTCCTGACTTGTCCTGTCTTCAACTCCTAACCTCTTTTCCCCTCTCTAGGGGACAACCCCAATGACTCATCCTCTGTCTGGTACAAGGACAGGTTATAGCAATATGTTTTTTTATCTCCTTAGACACATTGTCTTATTTTCCTCTCCTTGTGTTTCAAACCATCTGAGAAATTGTTGCTGTTGTTACCCGATGACTCTGTCTTTCTGTTTTCCCCACTGACCGCTGAAGAAATAGCTCATCTATCACTTTAAATGATGCACTGGCCGCAAGAGGCTGCAATCGTCTACATAAAGTACAATAAATGGACGTGACAACACACACACTAACAAACACTTGTATACACAGTCAAACATGCATATAAACACTCCCCAGCACCCATACACACAGGAGGTACACACCTTAACCCTTCCATAATCATTTCATCCATGTCTACCACCAATAAACTGAACACACTGATCAGGAAGGCTGGCTCTGTGCTGAGGACTTTTCTGGAGCCCCTGGACTTTGTGTGGAGAGGAGGATGCTGCAAAAACTGTTGATCATCACAGAGACCATCTCACATCATCTCCACTTAAAACACTTTAAACAGCTGAGCACTTTCAGTAAGAGAGTTTTTTTCAACTCTGCTTTGACAAGGAATGCTACAGGAACTCATTCCTGTCAGCTACCATCACTCTGTACAATGATCAGCCTCTGTGTCAGGAGAGGGGACTCCTCTCAGTTAAGTTATTCCATCAAAAGAACAGACTTCAAGGTGTGCTTTATAAGTATCCAACAACTTACACTAATGTGCAGTGTATTATAGTATATTATATTACCACAATTGTACAGTGTATATTCAGCACACTGTACAGCTATGGGGCTAACCCTAGGCTCTATTTTCTTTTTGTATTGTTTATATATCATTATCTTTATCTTTATTATTTAGTTACTTCGTTATTTGGTTAATAAACTAAATAGACTATAATTACAGTTAGTCATAGGTTCAATGTATTCATTTAAGTTCATAAAGCAAACTCTCTACCTGCCTCCATGCCCACTCAAATTCCCGTCCATGGTACAAGTGTTACAAACTCACCAGTACGCAGGCATCTGAATCAGCTTTCCATAGAGGGCAGTGCTGAAGGAAGGGATGATGGGGATGAGAGGCAGGAAACCCCCTGTGCTGTCCTGGCATGTCAAGCCTGCCTGGAACTCAAACACCTGGAAAGAAAGACAGAGAGAGAAGACAAGGGAAGAAAGAGGCAAAAAGAAGACATGGAAATTCAGCATTTATATATCAAACAATTTACTAGACCCACATGAAAAAACATGTTAGCTCTCACTGAACTCACACTGTTTCTGGAAAGAAAACACAGAAACGCACAATGAGCGCTGTTGTCTTAATCGGCACTGAATTGAATCAGTTGAGATGAGAGAACAACAGTTGAGCTGTCACAGCTCAAGTCTGTGCTCTCACAGGCCCTGGCTCTTACAGAGACAGAGAAAAGACAAAAGCATCTCATCGTTAGGGGTGGGCAGTATATCGGTTTTGTCACCTGTATCACATCCTGCCACTACACGGATGGCAATACCGTCATTACAATGATAAACACACACACATTTTGGTTTTATCACACATGAGGGAGATCTGCTTCCCACACCATCCAATGAACTGTGTCAAACTCACAGGTTAAGTACAGGCAATACACTCATTCAACTTAACACGACTTGCACAGCGCTGACTTCAGTGATGCATGGTGGACTTAAAACAATGCACGTTGGTTAGAAATGTTGTGCACTTGTTGTGATCAATATAGTTTACTCACAGCTCAATACAACAGCATGGCTGTTACTACCAAATCTGAGAATGAATTATATTACATTTACTAATTAACCTACATTAGGGGGCTGGCTATTCCTCCCAAAACACATTTAGGCCAGACATATACCTCATTTTCATTCCTATTTTGAGCCAATAAACACATCTGTTTTTTTAAAGCATTTTTTCATTCCTAAGACACGTTCTCCTACATTGCAATAGCGTGAAAAGAGGAGGCTTTTCATTTTGTAATACTGAGATATAACACAGTCACTGTAAAAAACAACAAAAAGAAAAAAAAATAGTGATATAAATCTGAAGGTCACCCACCCTTTTATTGTCCTTCTTTACTGTACAAACAGCTGTCAGTCCATCTTATAGTCTGGGAGCAAATACTGAATCCCCTGTAGACTGTATGTACAATAGATAACTACAAACAGCTGCAAGTTAGATTTTTTTGTCCTGTAACAGTATCTAAAGGTATAATTCATTACATGGTAGAAGTCACATGATCACTGCAGTGTGATTTAATGATGATACATATTACTGAGTCTTGAACATATTTTCTGCAGTTCACTAGCACATGTGCACAGAATGAATTTAAGTTTTCATTATAACTTTGACATGTTCTATAAACGAGTGCACGTAGATACAATAACAATTTAAAAGAACAGAAAAGATGGCAACAAAAACGTTGCTGACTAGCTCTGTTGATTACTATAAGAGTGAGAACAGCTTGAAATTAAGTAACCCTCATTCTTGCAATCAACAGCACAGTCACAACACATTTTAAATGGATCAGATTGATGAGATCCAGATTACGCCCGGATGAAGCCAAGATTTAAGTGTTACTGTGCAGTAAAATTCATGTATTCTATAATATTTTATTTTATATTGAAGGTAGATAATGATGGCTGAGTTCAGCTGTCCCACATCCAACTGCTGTACATACACAGAGCAGTCAGAGCAGAGTCGTTCAATTCCTGCAAGTAAGATGTAATATTACACACCACAGTAGTATATCAAGTGGAACTGTATGATTGCCACAAAAAGATGTAGACATAGTAAAAAAAAAAAAAAAAAAAAATCACATTTTGAAATGCAAAATTGTTGCATCTCAAAGTGCAGCTCTCCTCTGAGAGAGCAGATGTCAATTTTATTCTTTCATCGGCCTGAAGTGATTAGTTATTCAAATAGCCAAACTTTTCAATTAAAATAGGGCTATTTACTATTGTGGCCTCCTCCTTGAGAGAACAGAGTGACTTTGAGTTCTTGTCTACAACCATGGAAAAGTAAGACAATGGATAACTGCTACTCACAAGACAGACACCTCAGCTCTGACAACCAGTGTCAATAAAACATAGATTAAGATAAGCCTTAGTTTACAGCCGTTTAAAATCACTTCCTGAATTGGGTGAATTGCGGCCCGAGTGGCCTTCACCCTGTCACGAGATCCCTCTGCCAAAATCCAGAGGTAGAATTAGTACCTTGGCAGATACAGATGCTGATCGGATGATTGGTCAGAATGATCCTTGGCCGCTGTTCAACTGACTGTTAACCCTGCAGTGACCCTGTGATAAAACTACAAGCATGACATCCAGCATACATCTTGCCTTGAAGAAAACACACCCAGGCCATACCAGGCCAGAGTGAGCAAACCTAAATTACTCCAGATCTCTTATCCATGCTTCCTAAAAGGTGGATTAGCAGCTTCCATTGTTCTGTATGTACTCCATTGGACATCTGGGCGTTCAAATAAACTATAAATACAAAGGTTATAACCTCTTTCATTTTAGTTTGTAGCTAGATTTGAAAACTGGTGGGTGAAAAAAACGTACTTTACTGTATAGTGCAATCATCAGATATGACATCAACTTTACTTTAAATTACTAAATGATTGATCAAAAAGTTTGCATGTATTTGCATGTAAGATTCATGGAAAAGCTATGTACGTAAAAGATAAGACACATTCAGAGGAACCTAAATGGTTATTTCAAAATGCTTTGCCATGAACACATGCTATGTGCAGAGAGGTAGTAAAGAATACACTTAACTTGGCTCCACTTTGAAAAGTAACCATCATCAACAACAAAGTTTATCTTCTGAGCTTCATACTACCAAAGTCAAAACAATACAACCAACACATTAATATCCCATCCATTTGGTGGGTGAAAACCATGAAGTAGACCAGAGATGGACTGGTTTTCATCAGGAAGCTCAGTGCTGAGATTTTTATGACCAGGTGAAAAGGGGTCATCAAGGTCATTAAAAGGGTCATTAGGGTTATTTCAGGGTGGACTGAAGACTGTGGCCATGCAGTTAATTTATTGAGTTTGGGCTATAGTGCATGAAAACCGTACTGTACAAATTAGTGGATGAGTATTTTGTGTTAACTTAGACAGATGAAAGATATAGAGACAAATGTAAAATAAATGAAAGCAACAAAACAGGTGCTATTGAATATAATAATGGCTGTGCTAACTACAATATTAAAGTAAAGGCAAAGTGTGCTGGAGTAGAACTAGATTCACATATACAGAAGTGTATGGTTTTGCATCTACTTCTAAGTTTTGCATTGTAAATTATAAAATACCCAGTGTAGTTTCTCAAGTGTGTCAAATATTAAAGACATTGTTTAATATAAGAACCAAATCAAAGTGATACAAACCCAAGATGTGCAAGAACTGAAACAATCCAGAATACCTGATCTTCTGATTGACTTATTTTGGTTGCAACTGACATTTGGTTAGTTTAATACATTGAAGATCTTTCAGGAAAAGTCAGGTGTAAAAAAAGGTGAAAAAACTCACTTAGCAAACAAAGTTGATGTGTGATATGTCCCACTTTTGTTTCATGTCAGACAGAAAGATAGCTGGGATTTACAATTGTGAAAAGGGAGGTTTTCTTAATCTGAATCAGTAACACAATGAAGAACATTGTCCTGCTCACCTTGAGGTAGAGGTGTGCATAGCAGTGATGTAGCAGGTTGTCCGAGGGCTGGCTGAGACTGCTGACAGTGCTGACCAGTTCTGGAGCATACATGGGCACTGAATGTTCAACATTCACCCTCTCCACCTTGAACTGCACAGCAGGTAGAGGCCGCACTGGCTGAAACACTGGCACGCAGACCGGTCCTGGTGCAGCCTGGGAAATTCAAGATATAAAAATGGTGAAAATGTTCTAGTCAGAAGGTCCACAATCCTCGTAATCTCTAGGCCATCGCTCTTTGAAGTTTAAATTTTAATGGGGACCCATTATGCTAATATCCAGCTCTATATTTGTATTCTGGGACACCACTGGAGTAGCTTTGCATGATTCACAGTTCAAAAAAGTCTAAAAACTAAGTAACAAAACATAATGGACTGGAAATCCATCCGTACATGTTCAAGCCAGAACCTGATCCGGAATATCAGAGACGTCTCTGTTCGGTAATTGCCCATTAACCGCTTTTGTGTGACATAATGGTGGATTTTATCTTTCAAATCACAAGTATATACATTTTTTTCTATAAATGCCCTTGTGAATAGCTGCCGACTAAAGTGGAAAATGTCTGCTGTCAGGAAATACCAAAGCTAACAGCTCTAGTAAAATGTTATTATGCTGTCGCCAAACAAGTGTATGGTAAACCTACATTGAGTACATTAAATGCCTATAATACTACTCAAATAGACTGTTTTGGGAGAATGAGCTGTACTCGGAGTAGATGACCTTATAAAGAAGTAAGTAGAAAAAACTTTGGAAACCTAGTGTTCAGAGCAGACTGACACCTGAGCTTTTGTCTCACAGGGGTTCCTTTTACATATGTTTACCTCATTTGAAACTTTGGACACATTTAATATGGACATCCGACACTGAAACATACATTAAACATATGACAGAAAATAAGGAAAAGCATAATTATAGGTGCCCTTTAATTAAATCTCAACTCAACTGTGTGATTTGTATGATGATGTCCATAATGACTGCATTTAATGTTTCAAATGTATCTTTTTACTATGGACCTTCAATCAGGAAATAGTCAGTAATTATATAAAATCAAGTGAAATGACCTAAAATAGCTATAGAATGTAATGAAACCTGATTTTTTTTTTTCCCCTCACAAAAGAAATTAGAATGCGGTTATCATTTTTGAGATATTTAATATATTTAGAGATTCATAACATTTAAACACTTTTAGCAAGTTATGTACCTGTTTTAAGGTGCAGTGAGCACCTAATATAATTAGTTCTCCTCCATAAGAATCTTGGCAATCAACATTTGTCAAAAATCAAAGCTACCTAATGATTTGCTACTTATTCAGATAAGTGTATAGAAGCTTCCTTGTCAGTAGTTGCAGTGTGTACTGTCCAGTGGGTATGCATTACATTTACAGTCTTCTGGCAAAGTATCCAAAGCTGTCTGACCAACTTGTGTGCATATCAACCTTTTACGATCTGGTCTGTATACTAGATTTTCACACTTTAAAGTAACTATTTGCAAGTGTTGCTATTGCTATACAGCCAACCTTAGTATTACCAGGTTAATGTTACTTACGAGTCTAGACAAAACATTGTGAGTTCAACATCAAACTTCATTTCTTTACTTGCCAAGATCCGTCTCCAGCAGTGGCAAGCGACCCTATTTTTTTGCTTGTATTTCTATCATTTCTTTTCTTCTACTGAAGTTAGCATGCTAACCAGCTAGCCATGGCCCCGTTCGGCTGTCTCATCACTTTGTAATACCAAGTCACTGTAGTGTCAGTCTGCCTTGAGGAAGTAACACTGTTCAGAGGATGTATTTTGACCTTGTCTTGCAAACGCAATGATGGCTGAAGTTGGTAGGTAAACAGCTGTTAATGCTTATGTTGGCTATGTAGCAACAGAAAACTTAAAAATAGCTCCTTTAATCTTATGCAATGCAATCACCCATTCCACATTACTATCTCCTTAAAAAGAGGTTCTCAAAAAAGATAAGATCAAGAATTGGAGGACGTCTGTGTACACTACCTTGCTTCCCATGATGACGGGCATTAGTGTTTGAAGGAGGTTGAACTCTGCCATGGAGACAGTGACTGAGACTTGGAGCAGAGAGAGACAAGTGAGTCTGGTTGGGATGAATTCCTCCAAGCTTGATATCTCTTCTGAAGTAGCTGGACCATGGCTCTCCTGAATCACTTCTGCAACGACATTAACAGAATAAAAAGGAAGTAGAAAAAAAATGTCTTCACCTCATCATTTTACATGTATTATTTTGTGTCAAAATTAGTGTGTGAATTCTTGAGTTATGGGCAAAAATGTGTTTTGTGAGGTCACAGTGACCTTGACCTTTGACCACCAAAATCTCATCAGTTCATCCTTGTATCCAAGTGAACACTTGTGCCAAATTTTAAGGGGTTCCCTCGAACCATTACTGAGATATCGCATTCCCGAGAATGGGATGGATAAACAGACAGACAACCCTCGGCTGTCACCGGCACAGAGGCATAGAAATGTTAGATTTGGAACAAATATCATAACATATTGCAAAGATGCAGGAAAGGCAGAGGGTAAACTGTAAGATTCATTATAATATTACAAAAAAAAAAAATAGTTTTCCTTTGTTTTAAACAAGTGAATCCAACCACAAGTATTCGACCTGTGGTGTATTATTTGAAATAAAGTGAGGGAGTGGGAAAAGCAAAAGGCATTTGGATTTGAAAACTAAAGATTGTTTTACAGAGAAAGAGGTTAGCTGTAAAGCACACCAATTTCTTTGAGTGGGTGCCTCTCCTCTACGCCTGCAGCAATAAAACAATAAAAAGGTCTTTTCCAACAAAAACCACCACCTCATATACAAATAAAATAAACAAGCACTATAAAAGTACTGGCATCTCCAAGAGATATTCATTACAGTGGCTGTTTCCCAGTAGCTTTGTTTTTGAACTCTCTCATAAAACCACTCATTCAATCAATAACCAGAAACATCCGGAAAGGCAGAAAATGAAGCGAACCAAGTCAACATGGAATAGAGGCTAGCAAGGTCAGCGCTTGCAAAAGTAAGGAGTGACCAGAGCAGTGAACCACTAAACCATGTCCAGGGACTGAGGTGGACCAAAACCTGAGCCCTTTATTACTGAACGGCCATGGCTCTGGTCCCAGGACAAGGCTTGTTTCAGTTCAGTAAATGTTCTGTTGGGCTACATTCCCAGCTCTAAGGTGGGCTGTGAACCTGATCCCAAAGCTGTTTTGCTATTTGGCCTACCGCCACAGCCAACATCAGGTTCATCTGGCACTGCCATGTCCAATCTAATCATATACCAGGGCTCAAGTCAATATCCACAGTCAACATTCAAATTACAACAAACACGCAGCTCACATGGTACACAGGGGCATGATTACATACATTAGAACCTATATTACATTCATTACACTGAATTACATACATTAAAACACCCTCTAAAGTACACAAATGAGATGAAAATAAAATTGGAAGAACAAGGCTGCTCTAAAACATATACACACTTGCACACACAAAATGTAACAAAATCCTGTCCCACTTAACAGATCCAACTCTAAACATACTGTTATTTGTTCCTTCTATGGTTCTTATGCAATTTAGAAAAAAAAGCATCCATACAACATGCTGAACACACCATGAGTAAACTGCAAGTTTGAACCTCCTGCTCTAAATAGAACAAGGTCTTATAAAACACCATCTTATAGACACCAGCCAATTTGGCTTCCATTTAAAGCAAACTTTGGGAAGGAAAGTGAATCTTCCTGAGCTCTTGGCAAGTGGTGTACAAGGAGGAACAGAGAAGAAGACAGGATGAGTAGAAAGACAGTCATGTCTTTGACCTCATGACCTCTGCTTCTCTTCTGGCAAGCATACAAACTGTCCTCATGAAGCCAAGACTGAAGCACAGAGCAGCTGTCACCAAAATCATTTGCAGACTAGACAAAATCAGGAACATCCCAGAGACAGTCAGAACTACGATCAACTAAGATCTGTCCTTTACACTACTGAGTCAAACTCAGCCTATATTGATGCAAACTTTGCTAATGAAGGGACAGAAATTTCTACTAAACTCAAATCAAGAACACATTTTCGTCGGCCTTTTTTTATAATTATTTGTGTATTAACTGACTAAGTGATATGAACAGTTTCCAAGCTAGAATGGCAATAAAAGTGTGCTACAAAACAGTGGCAAGAAAAATTAAGTGAGGCCTTTGGAATTACCTTCATTTATTTATAAATTTGTCCTAAAATATGGTCAGATTTTCATCCAAGTAACAATTACGAACAAACAATCTATTCTAACTAATAACACAAAATCATTGTATTGTTCTTGTCCATATTGAAAACATTCAAACATTCACAGTGCGGGTTGGAAAAATTATGTGAACCCCTTGGCTGCTGGCATTAACAAAAGCTAATTGGAGTCAGAAGTTATCAAACTTCCAGTCCAATCAATGAAACCAGATTGGACGTGTAGGTTAGAGCTACTTTGACTTAAAAAACAAAACAAAAAAAATGCGTCTGCTGATTTGAACCATGCATGCATAAAAAAAGATTTTATGAGACTTATGATCAGGAATTGTTGATTTGCATAAGGCTGAAAGGTTTAAAGTCCAGTCAGACAAACTCTCTATAGATGGAGATGATTTAGTTTTGTAGCGCGTCTCTCTAGAAGTGGGCGCCCTGCTAAGATGACTCCAAAAGCACAACTCAATAATCAGTGAGGCAACAAAGAACCTCAGTTACAGCCAAAAGCTTAAAGGAATCATTGGAGCTGGTTAACATGTCTGTTCACAAGTCTACCATATGCAGATCATGGTGCATGATCTCGTGCCATGGACACCACAGAGGAAGCCACTTCTCTCCAAAAAAACATTGCTGTGTCCCGCAAGTTTTCCAAAGAGCAGCTTGACTCACCACAATGCAACTGGGAAAAATGTTCTGTGGACTGATGAAACTGAATTGTTTGGGAAGAACATGCAGCTCTATGTATGGTGTAAAGAAAGACTGCACACCAACATGAAAACATCCTCCCAAAGGTGAAGTACGATGGAGGGAGCATCATCAAAAACATCGAGGAGAAAATTAATTCCCAAGTTTATCAAGGTATCTTACAGGGTAATGTCAGGGTGTTTGTCCACCTGTGAATCTAAGTCAAAGTTGGGTGATGCAGCAGGGCAACAACCCTAAACATCAAAGTAAAGCTGCTTCAGAATAACTTCAAACAAAGAAAATCCACCTGTTGGAGTGGCCCAGTCAGAGCCCAGACCGTAACGCAGTAGAGATGCAGTGGAATGGAACTACCCACACCAGACAACCTAAGACATGGCTGAGCTCAAGTAGTTCTGTAGGAAAATTTGTGCAAAATTCCTCCTGAAAGTTGTGCAGGTCTGATCAGCAGCTACTGGAAGAGCCAGTTTGAAGTTATTAGCGCCTAAAGAGGTTTGGCCAGTTATCAAATCCAAGGGTTCACTTACTTTTTCCACCAGCACTCTGAATTTTTAATGGCTGAGACACAAGATAATTGTTTGTGTGATATTAGCTTAGGGACACTGTGTTTGTCTACACTTGTAACTTGGATGATGATCAGACAACATTTTATGACCAATCAATGCAGAACAGAGGAGAGGAGAGGAGAGGAGCGGAGAGCATGATTTAGGAGAATATGTAAGGCGTGTACTATTTTACTATTCCATCTGCAATAGCTACCTCGGTTTCCTCTTTTATGTACTCTCAATTTCTTAGTCACCCCCTGAGGGTCTAACTTTACTGACCCTTTCCAGAAAATGCAAGATCACAGACACATAAAGAAACATGAAGGAACACAATGACCTATCCAGTTTTAGTCAAAAGCTCTATCATAATTATCCCATCATCTATTATCCATCACAGATGCTGAAACAACCGAAACCTACGGATGTTATCATTTCGCAAAAATGAGTTATTGCTACAGATATTACACACAGACACACATTCCATGTTCTTTCACAACATCCCTGGGATGAGCTCACCAATAGCTGTGCAGGGACGAGCACTAACAAAAGGTGTTTGGCTTAACCTCCCTCATGTGGTCCAAAAGGTCACTACTTTCATGTACAGCTGTGTGTTGAAAGATGGGTTGTGCAAGGAAATAACAAAGTGATGAGAATACTGTAAAGTGCAGACTGTTGCAGTTTCTGATCATGGGCAGAATAGAGTAGAATAAAACAGAGTACAAGACAAGAGAATAGAGAAGAAGACAAGAGAAGAGACACAGCTGAAAAGAGTGTAAAGTTAGTTGAGCATTGGGAGTAGAGTGTGCTACTAGTTGCTACCTGACTATTAGCTGTTCAGCCCAGTCAGCCCAGTAAAACAGATAGACAGATATAACAGATGTTAGAATGAAATATCTGACCTCGCTGTGGTTTGCAATAGGGTTCATACTCGTGGTCCATGGCACAGGTGACCATCTTGAGGATGCGGTGAACAGCGCTGCTGTGCAGCCTGATATCCAGAGGTCCCACCACCAGCCTCTTGATGGACGTTTCTTGAACAGTGGGCACTACCTCCTCCATATTGACCATGGAGAAGTCCTGGGAGTCTATGAACACAAACACACATACAAAAATATAGAAAGTATGTGCTATTACGAACTTGAGTTCAGTCAGTCAAAAACACTTCTTTCCATATTTTTCAAGTGAAATTTGAAAGTAAGAAAGAAAGTACAGCAGACATATCAACTATTATACTTAATGTACAAATCTGAGTGTGTTTTTACATAAATATTTATGGCTGCAACATTTTTCTCAATATCCCACTTTTTAATTTAGTAGAAGTATGGAATGTCTTCATCTGTTGGGTAAAAATATAACAAAGATGGCAGTGGTGTAAGCCTGCAGCAGGGAGCAGATCACATTGCCGTGAACCACTGGAATGATGAATATTCCAAATGTCCACTTCTCTCACACAGCTGTCCCTTCATTCATCGCAGGCCCCTGTTCCAGAGGTCCACTTAAAAGACTCAGCTCCCCGGCAATAAAAAGGAGAAATTAAAAATAAAAGAAGGGGGTGGATGAATGGCAGTGAGGGAGGAAGAGGACAAAGGGTCACAACTTGCTTTATTCCCATTACATTCCACCACTGCACTAAACATTCTTATAGCTCAGAGAGTCAACACTATGAATTTAACGTTTTTTGCTGAAAGGGATGGAGGATGGGGGTGGAACTCCCTCTGAATTTTGGAGATTTATAAAGGGCAACGGGCAATGCCACTTCCCCTTCCCTTCTTCAGTGAGATTTGGCTGTAATGGATTAGGCCTAATATCAACCATATGGCTGCAGTTAGAATGATCAGTGGAATGAGGAGGAAATTAGCCAGGATTTAGACAATTCATTTCCCAAGATTTAAAAAAGAATTTTTAATCTGCAGTGTTACTTTAATATGAAGTCCATGGTGAGAGTGGCCTGGGTGGGTTAGTTTTCAGTTGACTCAGAGTTTGTGTTAGTTCCGTAGCAATAGAGAATAATTTGTTGGGTTGACACTGGATCTGGTCCACATCCGAGAAGAAGAGAAACACTGACAAAAGACAAGCATTCCATGTGTCAAGGGTAACCACAATCATCCCGCAGGAGAAGAGACTGACACTTATCCTGCTGTCAGAAATGACTTTGACATCTCAGGATGACAGTATCAATGTTGTTTTTAATTTAGATTATTATCTGTAGCTGAAAGTAGGAGGAAACAATAGCCTAGTCAGAGAGACAGAGAGGCCGAGAGAAGTAAAATGAAAGAGAAAAAGAGGGAGGCAAGTGAAACAACACAGGTGACAGTTCATGTCACTGAACTGGTTCAAATATATCTTTGTTTATTTCTTCTTTTTTAGGTTACTGAAAAAGGAAAATGAAGTACATACTCAGAAATTTCTGCCTAAGTAACTGACCATTTCCACTTCATGAAGCAGGATCATCTAATATCACATTTGCATAACATTCAAGGGCCATATCTATCCTATTATACTTTAGACCTATTAGACACTGTAAGGGGCTGCATTTTATCTCGGATTAATCAGATGTTTTCCCATTAAGTGCAGAGCATGTTAGAGGTTTTTCTTACCTTAGAACTTGCGAATGTCAGTCAGGTGTCACTGTCATAGTTACACAGAGAACAGCTTTCCAGCACCATTGAAATAAAATGCTCAACAATCACACACTAAAGCACAGAGACATTTGTGGGCCAAATCTAACATTTCAAACTGAAGGAGAACGCTTTATCTCTTAATGGGGACTTCAGATCTTTCAGACTTGAATAAACATTCTTGAGTGCTGCAGCTGAGGAATGAGAAATCCTGCCCGTCTTAAGGCTTCTACCAGGAAGAGTGACACCTAATTAGGCAAGAGAAGCCTATTCACTTTCTCAACAGCTTACAGGTAAAGAGACAGGGGGGAAACAGTGTTTCAACAAGCAGTGGGGAGAAAGAAACTCAAATACGTGTCAGCGCAGACTAAACACTTCTGACAGTTGCCCTCCAGGTAAGTTTGGGGTGAGAGTGAGGACAGGAAGGGTCAAGGACCAGGTGGCTGTGACTCAAACAAGACAAGCTGTTTCTTCAAGTCTCCAGGGGGCTTGTTTGACAGAGAGGAGAGCAGAGAAGAGAAAGAGAAAGACATAGAACGCAAGAGAGAGAATTAGATAGATAGAAAAGAAGAACAAGGAAACGAACGGGAGAACATGACAGACATAAAGAAAGAGAGAGAAGAGGTGGCAAGGTGAGCAAACAATCTCTGTGAGGAGGAATGAATTAGACAATACCTTTGCCGCTGCTGTTCTCCATTGTGTAGAGATAATCCATGTAGAAAGCACCAAAGCGTTGCATGCCCGCTATCTCAGTGTAGGTCTCCTGTCAAACAAAAGTAGAATTAGGTAAACATTCAGCAGTAAGGGAGCAAACAAGTTGATTGAGTGTCAGTGACTGGGGTCATGGTGGATATGGCAAAGGGGGTCAAATCAGAGATAAAAAAAAAAGAGTTACTGAGGGGGCTGATCTATTTAGTTGGATATCATTTTTTTTTACAAGTCAATATTACTAATATCCTAAACTATAAAGTGCTGCAGGGATAACATATTTTTGTTGGCTAAACCGGACATTAGCCTCCCACAAAGCAAGTGGGATTTTCTCATTGGCTTTGTGGGAACCAGGGTGAGGGCTTTGGTGCAGAAAATAAACTCTTGACAAACAAAAATTTATGATTTTTACAACTTTTGTTCAGAAAGATAATCTTCATAAATGAACACCACTTTTATGATTTCTGAAGTCCAAATACAGTCGCCAGATGTAAAAAGATAATGTTAGGCTACATCTGAACTACACCATGGTCACATGACTTTAATGTCACTGCTATTAAGCTTCCAAACTTTTAATTTGATTTGGCATGCTAACCTCTTCTATAAAAGCCTTTACTCTTAGAAAGTTAGCATTAGTTTACAAAAGTGCAAACATAAACACAACAAGGCTATAAAGGACTGGTGAGATCATGTAAAAGCTGAAAAGAAAATCAAACGACATATTTTATGTTGAGAATAAAACATGAAAATGTCTTGAGCTTGTATTAACTACAGACTTTATTTCAGGCATCTAATCAAAAATCTATTCCAAAAAGTAATCGACTTCAGAACGAGGGAATTGGAACTGCAAAAATGATAACTTATTTCCAGGTTCAGGAGCAGAAGCACAGAATTAAAAGTGTATAAGTTAGTATAACTAAGCATTTCTTCAATACTTTACAGTACATGTGGAAGTAATTTACTAGATATCAAGTGTTCTTTATTGAGCAATAAGATATTGCTACAGTGAAAGTTTCCTCAATCAGTTGGTGCCTGGATGCATGCCACTGGAAATATGTATCTTATCTACTAAAAGATATGAGTTTTTCATACTTGTCTGACTGGTATCATGGCTGATAATTTCAATCTAAAATTATGATATGTTCTGGAAATATTCACAAAGATAGCAAGATGCAGTCACATATGAGCCAGTACATAGCCTGGGGGCCTAAGGCACAGGTCTTATCTGTTCCCAAGCCATGGTTGAAAACTAGAGGTGACAGATCTTTCGCACTCAGAGCCCTGAAGATATGGAACAAACTGCCTGAGGAAATCAGGGGAGCAAAATCAGTAACTTCTTTTAAATCTCTTCTTAAAACATACGCATATATACAGACATATGTACACATACTTAAGTGAAGCACTTTGCAACATGGGTTTAGAAAAATGTGCTATAAATAAGCTTTATTATCATGTTATTATTCAGAGTTTACATTTACAACAAATAAAACCTAAATATGGGTAAAACTGTGGACATTTATCTTATTCTTGATCTAAAAGAGTGTCAGTGTATTGTTACACCATAACTAATCATTTATTTGTGTGCAAGTCAAGAGCTATTGACCCTATCCTCAACAATAATTTGAAGTATTTTTCTACTCCACAAGAAACCATAGTAAACAGTGAGATTTAGTAAAGAAACAGAAAAAGAGATTGAATGAGACCCCTTAAAGAGACACACACACACACACACACTTAACATGTCCACCCGAGACTTACCAACTACTTCTCTAAACAGAGATTTCAATGGAGCCTTATCAGGGAGGCAGGTTAATGAGTAATATTTATTAGGGGATATCTAATGGCTCTGGCATGCTTTTGGATCAAAGCCATTAGCTGGTTTCAAAACCACTAATGAAGTACCACTAAACCTTTGACTCTTCTACTATCAACTATGAGTAGATGGATGGATGGATTTCCAAACAATTGCTTCATTTAGGGTCATGAACATTTCTTAGCAAAGTCAACACTAGAGCTGTGAGGCTGATGAAGTGAGCTGAGAGTTATCAGGAATAATGGCTTTAACACTACTACTTAGATAGCAGCAACAATCCTTTACTGCAGCCAGCAGCTGGGTGACTGACAGAAATAATCAAACTGGTAGGAATAAAAAGAATGATTTATTTAGAACAAAAATTACTGATAGCTAAAAAGGACAAAATATTGTATGAACTTAGAACCGCCAGACATCGCTAAATACCGCATTGTACTGCAGTTGTTTCAAAGGAAACCTTAAGAAATGAAGGTGCAATTATAAGATTGATGTTTACTGACCCAGATAAACTACTCTCAGCAAAGTAATTAGTGTGCTTGCTTTAGCATGCTACTTCCACTAACATGCCATATCCAAATTGATCTGTGTTCTTTTGTTGTCTTTTTGGCAGTGATGAGCCTTCAGTAAACGCTTTATATATCTGAAAATAAAGAGGAATAAGGCTTAGAATTTATTTGTTTTCTCAGCAGCTGAGGTCATCTCAAATGCCTGACGACCAGAACACCACAGATGTTTCATTTTGTGAGGACTGTCAATGGCAGGTGCCGTTCATGTAAACAGCAAAATTAATGCATTTAATTAATACATTTTTTTTTGAGTGTTGTTGTTGGTCAAATAAGTATGTTACTGTGTAGGCCTGTCTGCCCAGCTGTGAGGTGTGTGTTGGGTTGATTGTTGGTCTGGCTTGGAACTGACTGCTTAATTTTTGCCATATGCTTTAATCTCTGCTATCACTTTTGTGGGTGCCTTTTGAATGCTTTGTGGTTAGTCCTCTGAAAACAAGACTAGGTCAAAACCTAGTGTATGGCTGGACTGTGTATGGTCAATGTAGGACAGATTTGAAAACTGTTGTGGCACTACTATAAACAACTGAGATCATCGCGCCCTATTAGCATTCTGCATAGTGTCAGCCAGTTTTAGCCCTTCATCTGTTTGCTTCTCTCCTCCTCACTGTGTTCACATATACAGTATTTTAATACAGCTGAATTCACAATTAAGTTGTTCTCATTTACGTGTAATTGTTTCTGTTGTCAGACAACAAAACAAGTTTGAAATAGTGACTGAAACATGGCCCATTATGTCTACATGTTAAGCCATTTCCAAGCTGCTGCTCTTCTGCAGCTAAAATCCTGATTCTATAACCACAACAGCGTCTGACAAAAATCACCAAACACATAAGTCAAATAAAAATACTGTGCTGTGATTTCAGCTGTATTTATTTGTAAAACGATCACTCAGAAAGAATGTTCTTATTTTGTCTCTCACACAGCACACAGCCTACCTCTGGGTAACAAAATGCTCCTCCATCTCTTTGCTACTCATTGAAGTAGACACGAGAATGGGCATTAAAAGCAATTCTCTATGTAGACAAGGTCTGTCCCCCCCAAAAAAAAAAAAAATTTAAAAAAATCGCTTGGATGCCACTTGATGCTTTTTTTTTTTTTTTTAAGTCTCTAAATCTAACAACAAATGCAACAAGTGTACAACACTGCGGGCTGTTAACGCCCCATTAATGGAAACTGTTTGTGCCAATTCATTCAAGAGCAATGGCCAATGGGGAAACTATGATCACTCAACTCTGTCTGTCAGTCAGTCAGTCAGTCAGTCAGTCACAGACATTCGTAATTATAGGGCTGGTCCTGCTGTTGCAGTCCATCCAGCTTTGTTGTGAATATACTATATATGTCACAAACAACCTTATGTTTGTTGGATTCACTATAGGGAAACTGTTTTTTCTGATGTAGCTGTGTAGCTTCTCTGAGGTAGATGCTCTCTGTGGACATGAATGTGATATGCATGGTCTTACTACTGTATTTACACATAGTGAATTTTGGCCATCCAAGCAAAGGCAGTGTCTTAAACTACAAAAATAAATATTTGGGAACAATATTCTTTTCTACTTTAGTATTGGGGATGGGGACTTCTAGAAGTCTAGAATCTCATTTAGTGACCTTGTGACTGGCGGCATCCAGGATGAACTCAGCCCTCACTCCGTTGTTCTCTGGACTGCGGTAGTCAAAGAGAGAGTTGGTAAGATAAGTCATTCCTTTACTGCTTAGGCTGTCCCCACAGCTGAAGAACACTGCATCCTAAAGAGACACAGGGAAAAGAAAAGAGGAAAAAGAGGAGAGGTATGAAGGAGAGTGTGCTCAAAGAATGCAAGAAATACAAAAAATCCAATCCAACCCAAACTACATAAAAAAAAAAAAAAATCTTTTCTGGATCTTATTCAAATCCAGATGTATTTCCAAACTATTAACTAATTTGCTGTTGCACAATTTAAAAAAATAACTATTGAAAAATATCAATTAAAAATACATAGTTAACACAGTTGATAAAATTAATTGATTTCAATTAAGCCACCCAAAACCAATGTACTGTATGTGGCAAAACATTATGGTGAATGACAAAAGGCAGCTGGATCACTCTATATATACACACACTATACTTGTATTCCATAAACAAATCAAATCACGTCTCTACCATCTTCTGAAAGCTCAAGGTGCAAAAGAGGCACCAGGAGACTGGTTTAGGTGTCAGTAAACACTTATCCTGGCTTTTAAATTCTGTTTTAATCTTTTCACTCGTTTTCCGCTTTTTTTCATTTTTCATGCTGTTTTTACCTCTTCACTTCGGTTCATGTTTTCCTCAAAATCCCGTAGTCCCATGATGCCTTTCAGGCACAGAGCCCGGCAGCCCACAAAGCCAATCTGACAATCGAAGAAGGGCTCCCCCATCATCAGCACCTGGAATAAAGACCGGAGGAAGAAACTTTAACCATTTTCTTTAAACAGGAAACCTATCAATTAAATAAAATAAATATTAATAGGCTTGGCTGGATGGTAAAGACATTTGAGGGGAGGCTTGAGGATGTGACAGCGTGAGGTAATTTAAAACTGAACAGAAGGGGAAAACGCCAGTTTCAGAATCCTTCCCTCTCCAAAGAGAACACCCAGGACTGTATTAGTAACAGTGCAATACTTAAAAAAAATAGTTAGGCTGAATTACCTTTTTACATCACAATAAAAACATAAACTCAAAAACTCATTTTATTGTGGCCTTATCACAAACAAGCTTCTCCACCATGACTTTGGTTTCTGGGCTCATTTCAGAGGGGACAGACAGCTTCCATTTTCCCTTGAGAGTGGTGTGTGCATGTGTGTGTGGTAGCACTCCAGCAGCCCCTGTAACCATCGAGGTGTGGTTGTCCCTCACCCACCATGTCTTTGCTTTACCCAGCAGACAGCTAAACGGAGAGCAATCCAATAAACCTTTACGTTTCACCACAAAATAATTACAAGGCTTAGTTTTCCCTGTTTTACTAGCCATCTCTTTGCCTTTCAATGCTCTCACTTTTGGTCCCAGTTCAGACTGCTTTCTCTCTCTTCCAGCAAAAGCATAAATTACAGAAATTGGAATTGGAAATCTCTCAGAATTCTCACATCTGGTAGAAAGCTTAGGAGCAGAAAACCCCTTTCCTACTCCAACCAGGTAATCAGAGAAAAAGGTTTTAAAAATATTTTCTACACCGAGGGGGAAACGCGGAAATGATCAGACTTGGGCTCGACTCAAACACAGATTCCACTGTGTTCACAACAGACCACAGATTAGTGACCTGGAGGGGCTTTATAAATGTACTTGGAGAGGGAATTAAAAGGAACCTCTCCAAAAGTAAATAAGGAGATAATAATTATAATGGAGGATCAAAAGGACAGACAGAGATCTTTATTTGTCTGTTCTAGCCGTGATGAGTTACAAGATTGCTCACCAAGTGGGTAAAATTGCATATATCACCAGTAAAATCGGTTGGACACAGGACCAGGTAAGAATTTCTGACATCTGGACTGGACGTGAGGCTGTTTGGTTAGTTAGTTAAATGTAGACAATTTATTGATTAAAATTTGCAATATATATAAAGCAGTAAAAGACTAAATCCATAAATCATGTCCATCCTTATAACAACTGACATATTTCTGGAGACAAAGTAAGAATTAAGATGTAGAGTTTTACCTCAATTGTGATTCCTTGTTGCTCCAGGCACAGGACCTCTCTGGACTTGACCTTCTGAGGACTGTAGTAGCTGCTCTCTGAATGGGTCTCTGTTAGCTGAGACAGAATGATCAAACAAATACATAACTTAGCAGTCAAAGCTATTTTGTTTCAGAGGGAAAAATACTACTCAAATTTAACTTCAAGTAAAATGCTGCAACAGGTGTCAAAAAAATACATAGACCATGAAAACTGAAGACTTGACAAAGTTTAATTTTGTGTTACATTTAAGGTTTTGTGTAGCACTGGATCCAAAATGTCAAAGATCATTAAACCAGATCAAAACTAGCTAAAGGTGTGCGACACTAGTTGAGTTTAGAATAGATTTTACCACCTGAAAATATTGAGAAAAAAAGAAGGAAAATAAAATTTTGTTTGATAGTATAAGTAGCAGTTACAGCAACAATACAGATGTCACAAAAATTCAACACTAAGAACTGGAAAGCATATGTCTCATTTTGTGTGTGCGTGTGTACCCACAATTCACTGCTGAAACAGATACGTGATTTGAAAAATAAACAAAAGCTATGCAAGTCTTGGGATGCAAGGGGCAATGAGGCCCCTGAAAAATAATGCTTAAAACCAGAAACAAAAACATCCAAACAAGGACAGATGACATTTTCTTAGATCAGAGACTGGATACCAGCCTTGGGACTTTTTGGTCGTTTTCTTTTCCAACTTTGGACTCTGGCCAAAGACATTCATCAAACCACATGACAGCCACTCCCTCTCTGATTTTAGGGGAGGCCCTCTCTGGCTTTATTGGAGATGGCTAACAAAACTGACTAAAGCACTAAAGATACCAAGGATAAAAATGATAATGTATAAGCCATTGTTCAATTCAATTCATTCTGTATGTGTACACACACAGAGAGAGAGAGAGAGGGAGAGAGGGAGTGTGAGAGAGAGAGAGGGAGAGAGGGAGTGTGAGAGAGAGAGAGAGAGAGAGAGAGAGAGAGAGAGAGAGAGAGAGAGAGAGAGAGAGAGAGATGTGAGACTGCCTGGTCAAAACTGGCTGATTAGGGTATATAGCTGATGCTTTTGAGGTTGGCCAGTCTAAAAACTGTGGGTGTAAAGCAGAACTGTGCAGGCCCCAACCCATTCAACTTTAACACAGGAAGCAGGTGCAGAGCAACAGGCAGCTGTGCCTTATTATCCCTAGTGATGGAGCAGACTCTCTCACCGAAGCTCCCTTCCCTCTTTCGATTCTGATGGTTTGGATTCTGATGGTTTGCTCACATGCAGGGACCACCCCAACCCAACGACGATGTTCCTGGGATCAGCAGTGAGCAAAGACATTAAATTATCTGCCTAAGAATTGCTATGACATCACAGTGGCACAGACACTCAACCACTACCAGTCAGGTAGAGCCTACTAACATCAATGTTCATCACCTAACAATATGGCCACCATGGCATTGTCCAAGCTAAGATGGTGAGGCATTCTTCTAACTGTCCCTAAGCCTGAATCAACACAGCAGAAAGGACAGAAGAGCAGTGTAGCACTGGAACTCCAAGACAAATGCTTAATATGGCCAGTAATCCACAGAGCTCCCGCTACTACTACTTTCCCTGCTACGTCTCCTTTATTGTATTTCGGCCCATTTAACGACTTTGCGAGTCCAACACAAATGAAATGATTCTTTATGAAGCATCTTGAAAATGTTATATTGTTGGATGTGGATATTGAGATACTTTATCTTCATGTCCATTTCTCAGAAATATAACCCACTATCAAAGATCTGATGGAAAAGTTGAAAAAGAACACTAGAAATCGTATTTATTTGAAATAAATGAAAATACCAAAAATAAAGAAACAAAGTTTCTTAAAGCGAAATATGTCATGAAGTCTGGCAAAGCAATGAAAGTTTGGCAGGTGTGCAAAAATGAAAAGGGGAACAAATGGTCAGTGCTAAACTATGCATTATGTGTGTAAAAGTCATTAAACTGTACTGCCAATTTCTCTGATCAAACAGATCTGGGGAGTAATGTGTCAGCAATCTAAAAATACCTCTCTGATTTCACGTGCATGTCAAACTCAGGTTCAGGCAGTGGCTGTTCAAAGACATGAAATTCCCTCAAACTAAATACTTCCTTGTAGGAAAGCAACGAGAACGTTTAAAAAACCATCCTTTCAGCTGTCTGCAATTACTCCAGATGAGAGGCAATTAATTGATTAAAAGAACTCAAACAATGCAGGAACAATTTAAACATTATTAGAAAAGCACCAAGGTCTGTCTGACATACCTCCCCCTTCACTGATCACACACACTTTCAAGTACACACACACACACATGCACGCACGCAAGCACGCACGCAAGCACACACGCAAGCACACACGCAAGCACACACGCAAGCAGTAATGTGATCTGAGGAGCCTGAACCTGAGGGGAAACGCAGATGAATTCCAACTATTCTGAGTGTGAGCAGGCAGGATTAAAGTTTGGGATCCATTTCTGAATAGTCATCATACCATGTATAATGTTTAAGACATTAACGTGACCCGAGACACCAGTTAGCGGTTAAACTACCCTCCCATGTACCGCACACAGAGACAAAGAGGATTGAAGCTTCCTGAGGATCAAGCTGTCCTTTAAGACTCAAATTCATAATGACCACAAAAAGAAGTAAATAAACAATAATGTAGCAAGGGAAAAAAATAACTTAACACAATCATATCTCAAATCAGGAAACTCTAAACCAACATTAAATATCATTATGTGCAGACTATCCATATCAGAATAAGACTTTTCTGACTTACCATGAAAACCCCTCGTGTAATAGACATTAAGACATTCATATTCTTAACTCCTCCATACTGTGACGTTTGTTTGGACATGGAAAAGTAGTTTTTTTGGCTCTGTATATAAATGTATGTTTATCTGACATACATCTTATTTTTTCAAAAGCAAATCTAAATCACATTCATACCAGTTACCTAATGTCAGTGTAATGCAGAATATTTCTAGCTTTAAAGTCGTACTGAAAACGACAGTACAGACATTAAGTTGATCATGTGTTTCCTTGTTCACAGAGACATGAAACTATTGTTCACCCAGTGTCTGCTGGTGAACATTACAGCCCCTGTGTAACATTTAGTAATGATTTAGTAAAGAAATCATTTATGGTGATAAACAGCTCATTTACCTTAAAGGTGACAGAAGCTTTGGTGCAGTAGAAGCCTATGGAAACAATGGGATCTTTGTGTGTGTGTTGTTGGGGGTTGTTGGGGATGCCTCCTGTCTCTCTCTGCTGGTAGAGGCCTTCCTCGCTTTCCTCCTCCTCTGTACCTACAATGGCTGGGACAAATGACCAAGCCCAGGACACCCAGCCCTGGTCTGCCTCTTCAGGACTCCCAGACTGCATGTAGAGGTCTGTGCTGGAGAACTGGCTGGAGGCCTGGCTTTCCATATCCACATCCATCCCTGAAGGGGAAAGAAGTCTTAGTTAGTTATAATGCAAATATAAGCAGATTATTTTAATGTAGTTTAAATAGTGATGTGAAAAAATTCAGGGCTAGTGCCTGTAGGTCTGCTTTTACTCCAAGAAGACTTCAAGTCTTTTCACAATGCTTAAGATAAATATTTAGGCAGTTACAACCTACACTTACAGACCTACAGAAGATTTGGTGCACACAATGTAGATTTAATAATAAAAAAAACATGTATACTTATCCTAAATAAGAATCCTACAAAAAAAGAGGGCCATTGTCTTGTGAAAGAAACAAATGTGCTGTATTTGTACACAATAGTGTTGCCAAATTCAAATTACATTAAAATCAGGGATCAGATGAAAAACACTCAATTCCCTCTCAGTATGCTTTAACTCCAGCAGATAAATCTGGTCAAACAGAAAAAAGTGTTGATAATGGAAGTGTCTGTGCCCAATGCAGCACACTAAATTAATTTGTCCATGCCTTCAGGGTAGTTTAATACAAGCAAGTTGTTTCAGCTGTCAAGTGAACGCACAAAAACAGCACAGACCAAGGCAGTTTCACAGTAGTTGCTGCCAATGCTCCAGCATGCAGGTGTGCAAGTATTTTAGTGCTGCATGAACTCACTGCTGCATGAACTCTACAGAGAGAGGGAGGGGAAGTCCATTCCAGGCGAGGCCAGAGGGCACAGCCTGTCAGCCAGGATCCTGACAGAGGTGAGCCTTGACTGGGCCCAGTGGATCACTGTGGTCAGGGTTGTCTTAGCTGGACCCAACAGCAAAGGCCACATCCACAAATGCATTCAGCAAGGGGTTGGGTCACATATTTGTATAGAGCCAATAGGCTGAAATGGGAGCCAAAAGGGAGGCTAGGTAGCTATGAGCCATCAGCACATGCAGAGCTTGGCTTGGGGTGCGGAATGGTTGCCTGCAGGACTGTACAAACTAAGCTGGAGGAAGTGGGGTGATTGGTCACACTTTCTGCGCCTAGACAAAGTGCAAGAGGTTGACTGGAGCATGAGCTACTGTAAGGCACAGGCCTCACACCTTGTGAAGAGGATAATGTAGAAAGTAGTAAGGAAAGCAGATTGAGGCTGAGTGGAGGAGGCTAGACTGCCTAGACGTATGTGACAAAGCCTGGACAAAGAGGCTTTGGAAAAGTCCTGGGGTTAAAGATAAACAGAAGCTAAAGGCTGTCAATGGGCCAGTTCCTGTGTCAGCAAGAGAAAACTTTAGCAAAAATGGTAAGTACTTGGATGACCAATGGGATGAAAGTCAGTGGACTGGCATGTTGATGGTGTGTGTAACAAAAGACAGACAGAAGTGTGGTGAAACTCATTCACTATTATCTTTCTTTTCTGTTTCTTAGCAAACCATCTGGGGGTTCACAGGTTCCCCAAACCACCATGCACCAATGCAGTCCCTGATCCCCACCTCTGAACTCATCCCATCATGTCTGTTTCCATACACACTAAGAGAGAGGAAGCTGATGTCAATACACAAGAATGTGCAATCCCATTCCTCGTGGCCTCACGTCCTCTGTGAGAAAACAATATTGTCCGTGAGGTCACAGCTTAGGAATCCCAGAGGCTAAGGCGGTGAAAATTATGACATATTTTAATTAAATCTTTCACTTTGCGAATTGGCAGTTGGAAATCCCTTGTTATGGCTTTTTAGACCCCCCCCCACCCCACACACACACACACACACACACACACAACCTCCCTGTCCGATTCTGTCTCTCATTTCTCTATTTTTCCTTTTTGTTTTCACTCCATGAAGCCTTTGAGGTGTCAGTTCAACAAGTTAAGCTCTTTCGCTTCACGTCACAGCCTGACGAAGTCTACATTTGAATTGCAGGGCAATCAAAATAAAAGCACAATTACCAATCAAGTGATCAAAACAGACCGGCTTAAGGAGACTTTGAAGTATTAATCCAAAGAAGTGACTGAAAAATTCCCAGAGAGTGATGTGGGCTGGCCAAAATGTATGCTGCTGTGGAGTAAAGCTCTATGACCACACAGGTGTGAAATAAAACTATTTTGTGTTTTATCATGAAAGCAATCAAAGCCTGACTGGATATTTTTCATAGACAACTAACAATATCAGTGTGTGCATATGTCCATGCGCAGAACTCAGAAGCACTATGTAATAGGATATGTCAAGGTCAAAGATGGTTTCCATGAGTCCAAAGTCTCCAGGCAGTGGTGTATGTCTAAGCTAGCGGGAGTGGGAGTGTAAGTTAGTGAACAGCTGAGTGACATTGAGACAGTAAGAGGGGAGGACTGAGGGAAGGCAGTGCCCTCGCAGGCCAGTAGATGTCCCTCCATGTTTATAGAGGGAGAGGTGAACTGGTTACCTGAATAGTGAGCAAAGGCTTCTCTGCTTGTTGTCTTATGTATCTGCTGAGTATGCACGTGTTTTGGGGCATAAGTGTATACATGCACACACTCAGGCTAAATTTGATAGATGTTCAAAGTTTCTCACATAGGTGCAAAAACTCATAGTAAAATGTAATGAGTCACACAGAATACCATACGTCATCATTACACCAAAAACAAACACAAAAGCTACTTTTAGTTTTTCCAGTCACAAATCGTATGTGTATTCATCACTTCACAGCAGAAAATGATAAAAAGACATGCAATCCTAGTATCTAATAGGATAGATGCTTGATCAAAAAAAACATCTAGCAGTAGTTAAATTAGACAACACTTAATAGCTCATGTTAAAGGATTTTATTTGCTGCTGTGACATTTCAAGCTCTTCCTCAGACTACTCAAGCCTGAACGGCAACATCCACACCAATATTAAAAAGTGAAAACATGATGAAAAAGGCCCTGTCATGTCACTGGGCTAGCATAAGGGGGCTACAGGAGATTTATAATGGGGAGGTGATTTAGCAAATAAAATTCTGATGATCAATTCCATTCAATAAGCATCAGAAGAAAGGGTGACCTCTCCTACAAACACTGTACAGAGCGCAAAACACCAGACAACATACACCACTGGACAAACATTTCAACATTTCCAGACACCCATACACATCCTCGCATATACCAAGGCGCGCACACACACACACACACACACACACACACACACACACACACACACACACAGTACTCAGTTCATAATTCTTCACATACTTGTTGAAACCATACAGCTTTCGTTGCCGTGACCAGCTGGTGTATTCAAGAATGTTAGTCATCTATGTTTCCAACTGCTGAGATTTCAGTGACATCATTGAATATCAGACAGTAGGAAAACTGCCCGTCTATTCCTGACTGGAAGTTTGCTTTGGTTAGTGAAACACAAGTATCCTGCACCATTCACCTATTAGTGCTTTTCATTAATGAGACATTGGCTCTTACCTAAAAGAGAGAGATTCAAACAAGAACATGCAGCCACAGTGAATCATGGGAACATAAACACATTACAAGACTTTTTCCACTTTGTTAATTGGCAAAAAGAAAAACACCTTCACATGGGGGAAAAATTAATATTCCCTTTGAAATGTTCTAGAAAGAACCGCTTTCAATTGAAAGTCACGGCTTATTAATACGGCGCAGAGTGGATCCAGACTGAATCCATTACTCTTGCCTCAATTTTATGTCCACATATCTACACACACACACACACACACACACACACACACACACATTTTGTAAAGATGAGTAAAAAAAAACAAAAAAACAAACACAGCAATGGAGCCACAATATACAACAACAGAGACTCACCACGAGGAGCCTATGGGAAATGAAGTGAATGTGATGAAGTGCTATGTACAATACTGGAATCATGTTCCTGCAATCATGTGACAATGATTGTTTCCTACAAACTACAACCGACTAAAAATAAATATGCATGTAAGCCAAGTCCGTCACTATAAGCGTCAACATACATGAATGTTACTGTTAATGTTGCAACATGTTAATGTTGCACTCTGTACTGGTTAAGAAAGAGACATTATATTTTCTTATTATAAATAAATCATTTGAGCAGTAACTCTGCTACTATTATCCAAAAAATTCAGCTTTATTACTTAAATCTAAAATGAATACACTGAAAACCATATGTTCATGAACAAGCCCAAACCCCTCCACACACACACACACACACACACACACACACACACACACACACACACACACACACACACACACACACAGCCACACAGCCCCCCTTCAGCTTCTTCACTCTGTCGATTACTTCCAGCATAACAAGATCTGGGGCGCTCAGGTTCCAAGAGCTGGTCCCCTCTTGTATATTTTTGTGATGGGATATTAATTCATTCTCAGAGGCTCCACATAGCAGTAGCATGACACTGACTCTTACATCTGGCATGGGACACCAAACTGGAAGCTGCGCCAACTCGCAGTAAAAGTCCCAGGCCAACAGACAGGGAGCAAGTAAGAGGGAGTGAGCAAATGGGCTGTTTTGTGTTGGGCTGCTTGCTTCCCCTCTGCCCACCACTTCCCCTCCACCATAATTTGCTCCTGGTGCTACAGAGGCTGATTTAGCCCAGCGGGACTTGAGACTTGATCCTGTTCTATTTGGCTAGGATGCGGGTGAGCAGTTGGGGAGAGATGAGATGAGGAATAATGTGTGTTTTTTAAGGGTTGGCTGCAGGTATCAAAAGTATATTGTCTATGTACATATATGAGTGAGTGAGAGAGAGAGAGAGAGAGAGAGAGAGAGAGAGAGAGAGAGAGAGAGAGAGAGAGAGAGAGAGAGAGAGAGAGAGAGAGAGAGAGAGAGAGAGAGAGAGAGAGAGAGAGAGAGAGAGAGAGAGAGAGAGAGAGAGAGAGAGAGAGAGAGAGAGAGAGAGAGAGAGAGAGAGAGAGAGAGAGAGAGAGAGAGAGAGAGAGAGAGAGAGAGAGAGAGAGAGAGAGAGAGAGAGAGAGAGAGAGAGAGAGAGAGAGAGAGAGAGAGAGAGAGAGAGAGAGAGAGTGTGTGTGTGTGTGTGTGTGTGTGTGTGTACACTTTATGAGCACAAAACCTCCAGGTGGTTGTGCATAGTGCTCAGTGAGTGTATGTGGTATGCCTGTGAGAGAAGCCAGCTGCATGTGTGTATTTTGCTCAGCTCGTGGATGTGTGGAGTGTGATTTCCTATGGTGCTCCAATCAGAAAGACAGAGATGGGCCTGTGTTTGATTCATCCTTATTTCTTCCCTTTATCCTCCTCTCTCCTGCCTCTATCCACATGGAGGGGATCAGGCCTGACGACAACAGTCTGTGTTGAGTTACACGCTCTGGCTTTTGTTTGTGGAAAAAGCAGGAGGAGCGCACACCATGGTCAAAGTGATGTTAAATGTCCCATTTAGGAACAACAGCAGCATATGGACAGACATAGCCCCTGAACACAACAAGGCAACATGCAGAGCATCATGAGCTGTCTAAGGAAAAGTTCAAAGCCTCGTGCATGGTAGAATGGCTTATTAACCACTTCAGAGCTTTGTCTGAGAAATGACTGCTGCAGGAACCATACTGACACACAAAAGCTATTTAAATTGATATGGATAGAGCAGAATGATGGCTGTAGAAAAATTAAGGCCATCACAGGGACATTTCGATTTATTTTTTGGTCCATGTCCTTACTTGGTGCACGGTTGGACATATACAGCTACAGCACAGTATTTTCAGCATAGGGGAGAACCCTCAGCCATAACAAGAGGATGACTGCCTCATTCACAATTTTGTAGGTGAACATATAAATAAAAAGCAAACATTCAAACACATAAATAAAGCAAAACAGCTTAATATACTTACATATGCAAGTTCTAGCCAGTGCTAGTCATCAAGTATCAAGTTCATCTGGAAACAGCTCTAAACAAACTTGGCTCAGATCTTTTAAAAACAAATAAAATCCCATCCAAAAAAAGCAGAGTAGGAGTTTTTTAGAAAGCAAAAAAATAAATAAACAAAACAGAGATAAAATATTCTCAGGGTTAGAGAAAGAACTGTCATTCAAGAGAGCTCACTCACCAGGTAAACTTGCAACAGCCTCCCTGACATGACCACTGCCATCTTCTCCCTCGCCCTCTTTGTGTCCTCCGATTTCCCCATAGTAGAGGGCAATAATCAGCTGCAAAATGCGGATAAACATTGGTAGCTGCTGATCAGTGATGGACAACTTCAGGCTCTCCACCATGGTCTGGATCTGAGAAAACATAGGGAAGAAAAGCGTAAGAGAAGGTTTAAATTTTGAAATTCGATTTGTTAAATTATATGTTTAGATGTGAAATGGGCTACAGGCCCAACCACTTGTGGTGGGTTCCTACATAATGTGAATAGGAATATATAACAAAAAAAAGGACAGAGCCGGACAAGCCCTTACAAGAACTAGTATGGATTCCCCTGGAAGCTGACTGCTGCATGTGGAAGACATGGGTTGTATTATACAGTGTTAATGAATTATAAATAGCATAAGATTCACAGTCGAGAGTGGACTTCTATAATCTATTTTATTGCTTCACAAGCTGTAACAGATACAACTATTCTACATGTGGCAAATCTTTCATGTGTGATTCTGTTGATGAGACACCATGAAAACCTTATTGATGATCGCTAAACCAGCTTGTGTCTGAGTGTACATAGATGGGAATGAGCCAGTTCTACTTTAATTCCGCCTGATGAGAAAATTAGTTTAACAGATAAATGGGACTGAAGTAAATTTACCATGATGTAACTTTATGGTGGACAGCTGACAAATGCAATACACAGAAACAGAGACCACAGACAGTCACAGTAGATTTTCTGGCTAGAACCTACAAAGGTTTAAAAAAAGCCCATTATTTTAACCAGAAGGTAAAAATGCACCAGCTAAAGAATTATGTTACTTTTTCCATCACAAATAGTTTAGATCTGACTACATAAACAAATCTCTACCACATTAAGGAACAAGACAGCCAAGACTCTAATCTGTGATTTTCAACAAACATCTTCCACTGTTCCACTGACAATGACTGGAAGAATGACTGTGACTGCTTGTGAGAGGAGCATTTTTTTCGAAACAAAACTGTTGCTTTTATATCAAAATTCAGCTAATTTGAGATTGATTCTCAACATCGGTGGTGTCATCCAAAAGCAGTTGTTTCATGACATGAAAGATAGTTGTCTAGATTGGATGTTCTACATGAACATGGTTGAATAGGTTTTGAACAAACATTGTTAGAATTGCACTAGATGGGAAGAGCACATGGTTCTCTCGGGTAGCTTTTTCAAACCTACCACAGTGAAACAAAGTGTCATTTTTCATATAGGTAAAAGTCAAATCTCTCTGAGATCACTTGAGTCTAAACCAAATACTGCTGGTACTATAGTAATACGTCATATTATCTGTAAAATGATCTTGTAGTTTTGTGTAGGAAGTAAAATCTTGCCAAAACAAAACAGCTGTTTTCCATAGATATCCAGAACATCACAGGATTAGAACAATGGACTGAAATTATACATTATTCTGCCATTGATTTGAGAACAGCAAACCTAACAAAAGTAAGTTACATGTTCCTCTAACAACAGTCAGCTGTTAGGACAAATTTAAACTTTTCTAGCTAGCATATGTGACACGTTTGGACGATAGTAAAATTACATTAATACAACCCATATAGAACACTTCTTGATCTTGAGCTTTGGGTAGATAATGGCAGTTATCGAGTTATTTCTAAAATTTAGAGATACTCACTTTGATGACAGATGGGATCTTGGAATTGATGTTGTCGTAGGTAAAATGAAGGCGTGTTCTGAAGGAGCATTTGTACAGCAGCGGGTCCTGGTAAAACTCGATCTTGCCACTTGCATTGCGTTTGTCTAAGCACACAGTGCAGTCTGCAAAGTTGATCATTTTCCTTAGGACCAGCTCTGGAGCTGCACAGAGAGAAAAGAAAATTAAAATAGATAATTTCACACTGAACACATAAGAGGTTGACCATCTGTGCTTGACACTCATTAAACATGTCAACATGCTGGGAGGTATCATTAAACACAAACAAACACAATGATGCACACTGACAGAGAGCTCAGCTCCATTGTCCAGCTGACAGCGCTGTCAGCAGGCCGGCAGTAGAGATGACACTTTGTAATAGGATTTCCTAACTCAGCTATGACAAAGAAGACAACTTTTACTTTCTCTCACTGTGTGGAACATGTGATGTTTTGTTCATCGATGATGAAAAAAAATGTGAGTTTTGGTGAATGATATATTTCTCCTATTTTTAGATAAACTATAATCAAGAAAAGACATAAGTAATTTACAGAGTTTGTATAAAAATGGAAAACATAGATAAGGAAAAAAATTAAGCAACAAACCACAAACACCTGAACAATTAACATATAACAGATGACAAATAAATCCTCATAATCTGTGATCTAGAAATTCAAAGGAGATGAGACTCAGCAGACATCACAGACCTCTTGTGTAATGTGACATTTACAATAGGTGCGACCAAGTGGTTGGTTTGTGTGTGTGTGTGTGTGTGTGTGTGTGTGTGTGTGTGTGTGTGTGTGTGTGTGTGTGTGTGTGTGTGTGTGTGTGTGTGTGTGTGTGTGTGTTGGATGACACATGATCAGATTCTCCACTGTCTCTGAGTCACTCACCCCCAACACACTGATAACAGGACTCATCATTCCCAGAATTATTTTGTTCTCTAAACTGTAAGTAACTATTAATCTAGCCACTTCTTGCCTTATGTATTAGAATAACAAGAAATTCCACAGTGATAACAATGACTGAAAATGACAACTTCAAGATTCTTTGTTGATATAGGCTTGTGTGAGCCTATAAAGAATAAGTCCTTTCTTCAAAGTTATGATGACAGTTCAAGTTTAAAATAACTAATTCTCTGGCAGTAAGATGAGAAACCCAGGAGTTTCTAGTGAGTGACAGCTTCTAAGTGCAATGGATAGAAATGGAAACACATATTCCGATTAGATGCAATTTTTATTTGAACCATCCACTATCAATTCTTATCAATCTAATCTTATCAATCTAAAAGTAACATAGATCATAGCTGGATATATGAGCCGCACTGAGTACCGACAGTCTCGTAAACTGTGAACAGTTACAGTCTATACAGATCCACCACAGTCCAGCTGACTCTAGCTATCATGTAGCAAATCTAAAGATCTCATCTACAAGAGGGATAGACTGAAAAAAAAAAAGACTTATCTGAGCTCTTGGTTTGTGTTTGTAGAAGAGATATTATCTCTGACTACAAGATGTGAAGCAATGGAAGTTCAGTGATCAGTTTGTAGATTCTACTTTACTCAGGCTGACAATACCAGGGAGCTAACGCTACCTAGCCAGATGTCGGCAGATATCAGGTTGATGTCTTGACAACACAAACAGTGCAGATTAATTAGAGAGTTGACTTTCAAGTTCTGCCCTGTCTACGCTCAAAGTGATCATTGTCTGTACATAGTTGAACATCTGCTTCTGACAGTCTATGTGTAGCTGTATGGGATAGACTTTATTCTTTAAAACATGCATAATAATGATGTGCATGTTGTCAGTTTTTACGAGGAAAATAAATGCTTGGTCCACAACTTTATAACTGACAAGAGTGTTTAAAATTTAGCTAATATTGATATAATTGTTCACTCAGTTAATTACTGTAGTTCCGCTACCTTCAGGAGTTAAAACCAAAAAAGAAAGACACGTGAACCAGGTAGCCATTAAATGCAAGGGCCCAAAAGGATAGCATTTCCTACTGTTCTATTCACAAGTGGCATTCCCAGGGTTAAAATTCCCCATCTCATCCATCTTTTGTATTTTTAAATGTGAACTTTTTTCTGTCAGAGCCTACTCTGCATTGGACCCACACATGCTCCAATTACACTGTGGAGTTTATCAAGAGTCTGAATATGAGACTACTCTGGCAGCTGACATTTAAACAAATAGCCATGTTTAAATGTGTCTGAGATGTCTGTTTGACCTTTGTTTGAACTACCAAAATTGAACACTTACTGTAGTATATAGGTTCTTGTCTTAGTGGATTTACTAGTTAATCCCACCACCAAGGAATGTAAGCAGCCATTGCTCACCAGTGATGTCCATGAAGGCCCTCTCCCACATATCGTCCACAGTGTAGCACTCTGCTGAGGTAATGTTGACCGACAGCACGATGTCATCTTCCACATATTTGAGGATCAGGTTGTTCACCACAATATTCACATTGTTCACCACACGCCTGATCAGACTCTGCACGTAACCTACAAACAAATAAGCAAACATACAGAAACATGTTACACTGCACACAAAAGGCATACCTAATTTTAAAGAGACAAACGTGTACACAGGAGGGCATAGTAGCTATATTAGCATATATGCACTAAAATATGCACTCAGTTGGCAGTTTATTAGGTACACCTAGTTTACCAAATGTATTCCAATACCACAGTTCTGCAATACATCCCACTTTCATAATGTTCGTTTTTATATGAATTGGTGTTGACTCAACTATAACAATTTTGGAGGACAGAATTTCTGTTGTTTATAAATGGGGTGGACAAAATAATAGAAACAATTCAACAGCACCACAAGCTGCAGCCTCCAAAATGACCATAAAGTTGAATCAACACCTCTCTAAAACAGTTTCAATAAAAACTGAACATTATAACCTTCATGAAGGGAGAATTTATTGCAGGACTGTCATATTAGACTGCATTAATTTTAGCTAGGTGTAAACTAGCTTCCAACTGAGTATATCATGACACATCAACTTAGTGTTGATACCCTGTAAAAGAGTAAAATCCAGAGATGCATTCTCTGAAAGTCTAGACTCAGTACCAGTGACCCCTTCCATCCTCAAGGGCTCATAAATAAGAGGAGGTCCTGACATGTTATTTTTCGCCACAGTCTATCCCTTGGACATATACAGTTAAAGGAGCTAAATATCCATAAGAAAACATTTTTACTCCTCACCCTGCCTGAGCAGTGTTACAAATCCTGGGTGAATTTATGAATCTGTCTCTGAAGGGCTATCCTCTCATATGCTAAATCCTGTTTAATCCAAAACTATGCACGTGCCGATTCAAACATATCCCTCCCAAGCCTGTTTAACCACTGAGGAGCCTGTGTGTTCAAATACACAAGTTTGATTGCATCAGCACACACAGAATACAGGACTTTATAGAAATTTGTACAGGATAGAGTTATTAGGGGATGAAAGAAACTCCGTTCTGCCAGGATTAAAAATGAACAATGCAATATGCCAACGAAGAGAAGAAAAAAAAAAAAAAAAATCACAAATGCAGTGTGAAAAACACTAAATGCACATTAATTTTATAGTGTAATGACTGGACAAGTGATGGAGTGCAAGGGCTAGAGAAATCAATTTTGTACAAATGGAAAGAAACAGAATATAGAATGTAAAAATAGCTTTTATGGTGAGGGTGAAAGGTGATGGGGGCAGTGGGTTTTGTAGTGAAGAAGCAGAGGGATGTAGTGACCAAGAGCAAGCAGGAGAAAAAGAGCAGTTCAATAGATTGGGTTTCAACAGAGCTGGGGGAGCCATCCTGCAATGTTAGCAGCACCTCCTGTGGCAACAGTGACGCCCAGAAACAGAAGCTTCACAGGAAAAACATACATGGTAAGGTTATTACTCAACAAAGTAAGAAAGAACTTAAAATATTACAGACAGGGGAGTTTCGACCATAAAATATGAAAATATACAGCAATAAATTCTCCTAACCACAGGACCAATGGCATTATTCATTCCTCCCATGTACTGTTAAACACAGTCGCTACAAGTTAAAACATATAAACCTTTAAAGCTTTTCCCTTATTTTCCAAACCAAATGTTTGTCTTCCTGTATCTACATGCCTGGCCCAGGGTATAACAGAACCGATAATTAGGCAGAACTAAATGGTTCTGTTGATGAAAATATTTATATGAATTGGTTAACTGTTAGGTCTCTTGTACACACGCCCAACTATGCATTAGCATAATCCAATTGACAAAATTCTCATGAATTTTCTGCCTGACCAAACAGAGCAGCAGTAAGAGAGGATGACATGAACTCAACTCATAAATGCACCGCATGTTCATGTTCTGCATGATATTTGTTTGTGGATTTGCATGCATGTATGTGATTGTCTGAGTTTGAGTGGGTGCCTGGCTGCTTTCTTGCATGCATGAATGTGGCTGTGTGTGCGTGCGTGTGCGTGTGTCTGTGTGTGTGTGTGTGTGTGTGTGTGCGTGTGTGTGTACCTACATCTGGGGTCAGTAAGAAAGCCACTATCCCACCTGCAGCCTGGGCAGTAAAACCAGCACTTTACCCCCTGCTATTTCCCTCTCTGGATCTAATTTGCCCGTGTCAGGGTGTCTTTCTTTCTCTCTTGCACTCTCTTACACTTGTTATACCTATTTTTGCCTCACACCAAATCCAGGGCCCCAATCCGTCTCTCTGCGAGTCATCGCACTGCTCTGAACTTCTGTAAACAATTGACACAGCCAGCACCTGTGCTGCGGCCCACAGGGAAGGAGCCCATTTAAAACTGCTCAACCATAAAATGACTGGAAAAACCAGCTCCTTTATGTGATCTCAGAACAGGCCAAGTACTCTCTTTTGTGCAATACAGGAAAGAAACACTATAGTGTCCATGCTCACCATTTTTCATGTATATGGAAAGTATTAGCAGCTATTAGCCTTGCCAGTTATTAGACATGGAGAGAAAGAAAGACAAGTCCATCAGACAATAAATACACTGTAAGTTGGTCCTGTGGTCTTATTCTGAAATGTAATTTGCACAGTTAGTAATGTAACCAAGAGGACACATACAATAGCTAGCATGGAACATAGCACCTTCATAGTGTTGAATATAGTTCACAAAATTCTATAAATCCCTTTTCAATCTTTATCTTTTATCTGTAAAATGTAAAATAAAAGGGAACATAGCAGTGTAAGGATCTCACTTTCACCATGGTAAGGACTGTGGAAACACTACAAGCCTATGTTATTACAAGGTCACTATCACCAATAAAACTTACTTAATTATGTGAACCATTCAATTCACTCCAGGACTTCTTATAATAAAACGGTAGATTCACAGAACCCAACCATGCATGGTACAGCAGGTCTCCAGAGCAGAAGAAAGCTGTAGCTGGAGAAAGCTCCAGCTTTTACCAGTATGCGATATTCTCTATCCATAAGTAGCATTTTCCAGTAATACCAGAACAGCTGCTTTATTTAGTTTCTGAGCAAAGGCCCCAGTACCAGGACAGCAGTAGCACTGAACTATAGATTTATCTCAGGAGTGTGTTTGCATTTCAGTCCATACCGAATCTCAATCTCCTCCAATCACATGCGTACTTACATAACCATGCATGCATGCACGCACAACTCTTGGACACAATGACACATAAATTTAGCTGTATGCATTTATGCTCAGGCTGTAATTTCAATCTGGAAAAACAGAAGAAATGGCTTCCAAATGCTCAAGTTTTCCTAGTGGAAAAGGTTGATATAAAACACTGTTGGATAACTGTACACAAAGTATGTAGGTGTGAAACAACTTATATAAATGAATATGATGCCTGCAGATGCAGAGTGTCCATTAATGTGTCAATCAAATCTCTAAAATAAAAAGTTATCACATAACAAAAAATAATTTGGTAAGAAATGTACAATGATCCTTTAACAAGGCAAACAAACCCCATGTATGTCTATCATCATGCATACCAGATTTACTTGACATTTCATACTAAATGTCCTAATGCACTTGCAGAAAAGAATATGTTTGTGGCTCCTCAGAGAGAATTCAGCTTTGAAACTGCAAATCTTGAGTACAACTTTGATCCAACCACCTCACAGGTAGCAGGCTAAAACTAGACTAAAAGCAACACTGGCCACTATTAAATCTCTTCGAGCTCCTATAAAACAAAGCATGGTTTCAACAGTGTGAATAGGGTCAAAACAGGAATCCCCTGAAACACAGAAATGCGGTTCCCACAAATGGTGACCACTGGACCCCCACAAAGTAGTGGTAAACATAATCACTCACAGAATTGCTCAAGGTGGAAGCACTTGGTGTTTGGTCTTTGTGTGGCTAACAATCCAATGGCATATGAATTAACGTCTCTATTTCCCACCACAGGGAGAACAGGGAGGATAAATTCAGTCAGCATGTGAAGGCTTAGGGCCAAATGACTGGATAATTGCTGGTGGCTTGCTTTTTAGTGTCGGCTGTGTTTTGATTTGGCTGTTTTAAAGGGGAGAGGAGCAGATTCAAAACAGTGGTTAGTCGACATTGATGCTGACAAAGAGGACTCACTGTTGACACACCTTGCTTAAAGGACCCATATTCTACATTTTTCCTGTTTCATTTGAAATTTTGCTATCCATAAGAAGCTGTATCAATCATCTTAAGCTCTCTCTGGAGCTCTAGCAAGAACAGGGCATTTTGTGTCCATCTCTGAGCCTCTCTTCTGATTGGCTGACCTTGTGAGACACACAGTCAGGCCAAGTAGCCTACCAGCAGCCTACTACTATAGCTTGGCAAAAACTCACTGGTAAATGTACATGCGATAGTCAGTCAGCACTGAAATGAGCCAAACAGACAGTAAAATTTGGATTAAAAGACTCAGAAAATAAACTTCAGCCACTGGTCTCCAATATCACTATCCTTGGGTAGGTACATTTTTCTGTCTTGTAGCTTGCTAGCTCAGCGACGGAATCATCACACAGTGGGCTAAGGTGGGCCTTGCTGGAGGCATTGCTGAGGGTGGTGACTGCATAGTTGAGATATCACAAAATTACAGAAGTCACAGTTTCTGAATATGAGCTCTGTGCATTTCTCCACGGATTGAGTACTGATACTTTCACAGTATTTCTATAACACCTAGATTTGCTTTATAATTAAATAATACATGGAAATCTTACTTTACTTACTTACCTTTTACACATACTACATATCTACACACAATGGCACTCTCCTACCAACCATCCACATGCATCTGCTTGTATTGATCATTGCCTTCTGAGACAGATGATGACTGAAGTGCAACTAACCTTAAATTTGGGGACGCATGCATGTGGCTTAAAAAAATACAGTAAAGCAATGTCTCAATCACCCTCCAATGCTGCTCAGTAGCTGCACAGTGCACACATACCCCACAGTAAGCCTACATTGAAATACTAAAGTAATTACAATATTTTTGACAGATGAATTGCTCTGCATTGAAAAATATGTAGCATTATTTCAAAAATATAGCTTTCTGAAACAGATTGGCCTTATACAGCTGATAGCGGATCCATAAAAGTGTGTAGGATTTAGCTTTGGCAACCTCATTAGTGGTAGTATCAAAACAGACACTGTAGCAGACAGTGGAGGTAGTGGTATGCATTTCAATGTATTTGAGATATCTGTATGCGTTAAATTACAAGGCCATACAGGTAACAGATATTTTCTTTGGCAGATATGGAAATGCAATAGGTCTCAGGACAACATTGCATTCGTTCATTTGACAGATGCTTTTGTCCAAAGCAACTTGTGTAGGATGTAGAAACAAGAACAAGATATACAAAATTGGGAGTGTAACCCTTAAACAAATAACGAAAAGCATGATCATTCCTATAGTACAAGTGTTGTCATCACAGGACGACAACATCTTTATCCATACCAGTGGACTAAAAAAGTCTCAAATGAGGTACTCATGAGACTAATGAATGTCTAAAAAATTACCCATGTCTGCTGCCATATATTGCAGTTCTGTGCCCTCACAAACATCCTTAACTACATTAAATACTCCTGACAGGTTTGTTTTGTATCTTATTCTTAGCAAAATATCCTCTGTCTGAGTCATAGCAGGTTAGTTTTACCTCATCTACCTTTTAACCTCTACCTTTTAATTAGGAAGGCTGGGATTACAGCATTCATCTGCTTCCTCACTGTTATTGAGGTGCTGCAACCTCTGACCCCAGAGTTGTCTTTACAGCCTATAATGGGTTGAAACAAGGTCCACTGCTGGAACAGCATGAGGTGTGCACACAATTTAACACAGATGCACTAAAAACACACACACCCAAAAGGTTCACACACACACCCAAAGTTTCTCACACACACACACACACACACACACACACACCCACACACACACACACACACACCCACACACACACACACACACACCCACACACACACACACACACACCCACACACACACACACACACACCCACACACACACACACACACACCCACACACACACACACACACACCCACACACACACACACACACACCCACACACACACACACACACACCCACACACACACACACACACACCCACACACACACACACACACACCCACACACACACACACACACACCCACACACACACACACACACACCCACACACACACACACACACACCCACACACACACACACACACACACACACACACACCTTGGACGTCTGTTAGAGGCAGGTCCAAAGGGAGATGCTGAGGTGTGAGGCGCCCTGCTTTAACAGCTGGGGAGAGATATTATCTCATGTCAGGCCTGGAAAATGATCCTCCCCAGATACAACCAGATAGGAGGGTAGGTTCGTACATTCATGCATACAAGTGCTCTGGGAGTGAGCCTTATGGTTGGGTGCCTATGACCTGGATCTTAAAGCTCAAGACCCCCACCTATCTCCTTTCTTTTTTTTTTCCTCCTTCCTTTTTTCTCTCTAAATGCCAAATATTTTATATTTTAGTTTCCTCTCTCTATTGTCTTTCTTACTTTGCAGTTTTTCCATGTTTGTAGAACTTTTCATTAATTTTGCCATAAACCTTTGTCTGAGAGGTTGTATTTCAGTAAGATTACTGAAGTTGCATGCTTTTACACTTCTATAAGATTGTCTGTGACAGCATAAACATAAAGAAAAGTGTTTACTGGCCAATATGAGGTCTGTGTATGTTTGTTTCTTTCTAAGAGACAGTTACAAATTGATGGAAAAAAGCGGTCATAAATATTTTTAAAAGACAATTATCCATCCCCAATCAAACAAGGCCCTTCTTTGTGAGGTGCTGTAAAGTGCTGGAGTAAGGCAGGCATGGAATCCATGGCCCTGTAGGAGGCATGTGGTCAAGTGGTCTTGTTGATAAGAGCCATCACTATGTGATTTATCAGAGACACATCCCCCGTGCTCTCTCTCTGGCTGATTTACAATAGTGAAAAAGGTAGTGCTACACAGTTCACCCCATAAAGAATATTTCTCCCAGTGTAAACACGTATTACATACATTTGGGTCACTGACAATGACCTATGCAGGCAGTGGGCTACTAACAAGCCAAGAATCCAATTATGCAATTATTCTGTCATTAAGTATTCTAGGAGGCTAGGAAACAAAACCAAGATTTCTCAGTAGTGTGTAAATAGGTGCTAATCTCAGTCTCACTCCATGGCCCTGTCCTCCCCCACTGAGGCCAAGCCTGCCCAGGTGGTCATTCTCTAAGCAGGGAGGCAGAATAGCCTCAGTGGCCCCAGGGCCATCATTTACCTGGGGGCAGGTCTGGGTCGCTGGGGGCAGCCTGCTGGAGGCGGCGGGGCTTAGCCACAGCCTTGGAGCTATCTGAGACACTGCGACTGGTGGAGCTAGAGCCGCTCTCGTGGTCATCCTGAAGAAAAAATAAACAAGAGCACCCATGAGGATAGTTAGTGAATTTCTAAAATACAAAGCTCTACAGAACTTCAATTTGTTCTGGCAATTATTCATTTATTACCAGATTAAAATAGTACTTCATTTTTAATGCACACAAGTATAGTAATACAATAAAGAGTGATGGTCTTAACTAGGTTGCTGCAAGTCTGATAGCCAAGTTGCAATCAGACTAACAGTACTCAGTTGTTGCGCTATCTGTCAAATTAATCCTGACATATATAACCATCATAGTCTAGTTTCCTTTTTCTGCATGTGCACCATAGAGATGACAGAGATTTATGGTCAAACTAACACCACTGTTCTTGTGTTGAGGAGCTATTTAATTTCAGTTAGTCATTACTAAAAAGAACAGTTGAATCCCTAATTTTCACACATATCTCAGCACACATGAGCAAGAATGATTATCAAACAAATATTGTAAATTCTAGTTCAGAGGAAAAATTTACCTATAAACTTTATGTGGTTACTGAGGTAATCAAATTATTGGTGGGCATGCAAGCATCTGTATCTGTTCACCTGCACTGCTGTATGTGCAATGTCCAGAGGAGTAATTGGGGGAGTATCCACCATATACCATTGTTTTTGAGTCCCCCCTCACACCAGACCTTACCACTAACCTTGCTCCCATCCCCATTAAACAACCATCTCCATGGGCTCTACAAATAAACTCTGGTCCTTGGATGAGAAGGGTTAGACTCTCCTCCACAACAGCACATGTCACCTGCACTCAGAAACCAGCAGCCTGTTAAGCCCAGGAATGCAAGTAGGAGATCTGTGTGTATGTGTTTATGTGTGTGTAGGAATGACGATTAAATGGACTTCCCCTTCAGAGATGAGCCTGTAGATAAACAAAATGAGCCATGGTTCTGGTTGAGGAAGTTATTTATTGGTTCAGCTTGTAGAGTGCCTCAGCCTAGTCGGTGCTCTGTGACATGAGGTGCAATTAAAACAATTGGGACATGGGGAGAAACAGTGGAGGAGCCATGAGATTGTGGACTGATTTACAAGGACTTTTACTGGTTCTACTGCTGGGATAACTACAGTTTTAGCTTATGCTTAAAAAAACCCACAAATGGACAAAAAGATTTCCCATGTTCTTCATGTTGATAATATTTTAATATTTTTTATCAATATGTTCAAACAATCTTTTATGGTTAAAGCATAAAACCAAGGCTCTCATATCTGATGCCATCATGTTACAAAGCCTCGAGCAGCTCCATTAAAAATATAGAGACCGACTTTGTGGATATGTAAACATTTTTCTAGCAGATTGTCGTCATTCACCAAGGTGTCTTGGTCATTGTGTTTACAAGTTTTATCAGAGGCTTGTTATCTTATTTCCAACGGTTTAGGAGGGACTTTCATTTTCACAACTTTTGATTCACCAGTTAATAATCAGAGTTTATGGGACAAATAATTTGTCAAATCAGTTTTTGCATGCAGATGACGAATACTTGCCCGATTTGAAATACAGCCAGAGCTATGGAAAAGACCTCTTTAACCATAAATTATCAGTTTGAAGAAAAGAACAGCCTTTCACATCAAAATCAAAGCACCTGGAAATAATATGGCTACTATGACTCAAGTTTTACTCTTCTACAACTACTATGTATAATTGAACAAATACCACATATTCATATCAACAGTAGACATAAGCCTGCAAACACAGAATGGTAGGAAGGAAAAAAGAAAAATAATACACTAAAAATAGAAAGAAAAAAAAAGGTAGAGAGTTGAGTGAGTTAACCCCCAGTATGGCATTGATTAGGGGTTACTGCAGCACTGTAACCTTTCCACAGTCAGACAACTCGGACAAAGAAACAGGCAATTACATATGTTTAGCATTCAAATAGGGGATTGGTGTGGCAGAGTGTCGCAAGAGTCATGCCTCATGCTGACTAATGTAAACACTGAGGTGTCAAAACCAAATATATTTGGCTACTCCATGAGCACACACTTCATTCACACACACTCAAATGAGCAAATGAAAACCCACAGCCACACCTTTCAGGCAAGCCACATGCTGTATATATTGTACATGCACATGTCCTATGCAATTAGCACGCATTCCCTGGTTATCACACTATCTAATGACAATGAGCCCCTTTCTCTCTGTGCGGTTGAGTAATGAAGATTAGGTTTTAAACATACTTTGCATAATTTGAGTTGTGGACACACTGACGGAGAAGCAAGTATCCCCCAGTGCTGTAAAGTAAACATGCAACTGCCATGAGAGACGAAAGAGGCTCTGGCAGAAATATTTACACTTTACTTCAGTAAGGGCCTTTGCGGTAGAGCTGCACTATGCAAGCAGTTTTTCCCCATCAGTGAGTGGTGGGAATTGGTAAACAGAAGAGGAGGAATAATAAATACTTCATCAAGGTTCCAAAGAATAGAGATTGGCAAATAATAAGATACAAATTTGTTGCTCATTATTCACACTTCATTTCTTAACTTGTCATCACTTCAAATGTTGCATCTACAATATTTAGAGATATCACATTAAAGGAAAATACAATTATTTAGATGAGGTAAGTTTATAGTGAGACATGTTCACATGTCAAGGTGTCACTATAGGCTACTTGAGCACATTAGAAACAGTCTCTCTCCCCTGTCAACTCTCATATCTATACCTAAAGGAATGCCTAGCCCTGCAGGCCAAGACTGCATTTCAACAGTTCAACAACTCAAACTGGCACTAAAGGACGAGACTGCCAAATTTGGAAGTAGCGCAATTAAGCGTTCAATGTCAGTGTGGGCAATGAGCAATTCTCTAGGGGCAAAAAATGCCTTTTCAGAAGGAAGCCCTGGGACAAATGAAGCCTGCCTCAGCTGCTGCCGGGTAAACTGATCCCTTCAATGCCACACCAGGGCACAGGATAGGGAGGGAAGGATGGAGGGATAAAGAAGGAGAGAAAGACAGAAGGACCAGGGATTGAGAGGGGGGGGTTCTTCCCCTGCAGGCATGTCAACCCAGCTGCTGACCAAAAATGACGGTGGCAAAAAACTAAAAGAGAGACAAGAAATAAAGAGATAAGTGGAAAAAATAACAGTGTGAGAGAAAGTGAGACAGTCAGACAAAGAGCGGTTGTGAAAGTGAGAGTGACTTAGAGATAATGAGACCAAAACAGAGGCATAGAAAAAAGGAGCAGGTTCTGGCAGTGTGAGTGACAGGTGAGCTGGACCCCCTACTCAGAGGGTAAGTGGGCACCCATGGAAGGTTAGGGCACAGGAAAGCCAGCCCTGACCTCTGTCTACCCTACAGACGTCTGGCTCAGTCGGGGACCAGGAGGCAGTTTGTTGAGCCTGTCTGGAGGGCCGACCCTCATCTGAGCTGCTCAACACATCAGCTGAACCCGACCACCTCCAGCTATTAGAAACGGCACCTCTGCAAATACTGTCAGTTTTCCAAGTACAAACAAAGTGGCTATAACTCACTTTCTTTGAGTGGATCATTTTAGGTCACAGCAAGCAGAAATTTTAACACAGTGATGTGAGGACAGTAATAGGACATAAAGCTGATGTTGCCAAATTCAGTTTAATTTTCAATGGATATGGTTTTCTAGGCATCTGTTTAAACTGTTTGAAATATTTTAAAAGTTTCAGATTAATTTTGAAACTATTTTAGACTACTGAAAATAATATACACATAACTACATGTAAAGTGAATAACTGAATAACAGTTTTACAGCAATTTCTTGTCAACTGAGGTTTTCTCTTTGACATATGTTGGCCAAAGCAAAACAGCATTGGCAGAGTTGTTTTTATTGCCCAATGCACATTTCTGAAAAATAAAATATGGCACTGTCTTTTTTTCCCTCCACAAATTACTAAGCAATTTCTCAATTTCAGCTGACTTGCCTGCCTGCAACTGCCTGATCTTTGAAACCCAAACATTTTTAAAACTGGTCAATTTCACACAGTTTCAGCAGATTAATGGAAGCATGCAGAAGACCATTGCTGGATAAACACACTCTTTGTTATTGTTGTTTTTCCTCTGCAGGCTGCTGGTGAACTCATGCTGACATCAAAGCAGCAGGGCTGGAGATTGGAGGCCAGACAGTTGAGGGCTAACGCCTATGAAGTGAGAAAATACATGAAGGTAACCCAATAGCTCCTTATCTCAGAAAACGCCCCCCCTCCTCCAAATCATTCATATACACGTACAAACACAGACACACACACTGGGTCTGACAAGTAGAGACCCTGTCCCCCATGTCAGGGCCCGCAGAGCACCATCCCTGGGGAGGATCCAGCAATCAGACCTCCTGGCAACACATTTTGCCATTTATAACTTTCTTCAAACCTAACAAGAAACCTCTCTAATACTGGCTGCAAGGGAATGCTAGGAGTCATTGTGGATGTGATGAGTTTCAGATTGTTTTTCCAGAACAACACTGAAGACATTCACTGCTAACAAGATACACACTCCCCACATTCAGCAGAGTGCACACTGCTATGATCCTGAAGCAGCGCCTCTGTTCTCAGTGCTACTAGGTGTTCTCTCTCCTCATGTCATCTAGCTCTCACAACTTCTGCTCCTTCACCTGTCCTTATTCCTCCCTCCTCATCATCCTCTTCATTTCTTTTCATCTTCTTTGTCTGCAATCTATGACCTTTTTTATACAGTTGATTCCAGTTTGACATTACCACCATCTTCATTCCTTTGCTTACTCTAGACTTTCTGAACCCATCCATAACCAGCTAGTCTGAAGCTTGTTTTAACAGTGATGACCCTGGTTCCCATTAGAATGGTTTCCAGCTGGCACAAAGATGAATGACACATGAGAAATGATTCACTGTTTCAAACATACAGTCACAGTTTGGGATGGTTCCAGTAATGTCAAATGGTATGCAGCCACCTCTTTTACACTTAAGCTGCACGACCCATTGATGACGACCCCACTGGAATGTAAGAGAACAGAGCTCATCGGATCTGACTCAAATGACCCTTTC